ACGCCCCGACTAGCCGCACAATCCGTCCGCTTCTGTCGATAATCTGGGCCCGTCTCGTCCCCCTGACTGGTCTCCCTGAGTGATTGTTGTTGTGTTTGATGCCCTGAGGTGGTCTCGCCCTGGCATGTCGGCAGACCTATCCCTGAGTGACCATGTCAGTCAGGTTTTATACATAGGGACATTATGCCACGTTATGCAAGGTCACTGGACTATGCACATGTACGTACATACGTAAGATCCGCTGACGTAGTGAGGTGTTGATTGGCATTTACTGATAGCAAGTACAGATGTCCTGAATGCTAAAATAGCTGAGCGAAAGAAAAATAAAATCGAGAGTTCTGTGAGAAACTGTAAGACTTTTGGTATATGTAATCTCATTCAAAGTGATGGGTATACACATCCTCCGTTGATTTACTTGATACCGTTATCGTAAAGGCTCAATGTCACACATAAATTATATGGTAGCTTCCCTGGATTGCCTGACAAAAGCTCCACAGGACCGAAGCCCCACAGACAAAAGCCCCTCGGACAAAAGCCCTTTTGGACAAAAGCCCCAGACATCTCAGACAAAAGCCCCATATGATAATATATACGAATATATAATATATATCAGATTTAGCAAGATTTATTTACATTCTAATATCAAAAATCAACATAGCATTTGAACACACATTTTCTGAGCAGCACTACTTGTCACATCATATCACAACAAATCAGCATAGCCCTATCCAATCTGAGACTATTTCTTAATACAGCACTTGTCACATCATATCACAACAAATCAGCATAGCCCTATCCAATCTGAGACTATTTCTTAATACAGCACTTGTCACATCATATCACAACAAATCAGCATAGCCCTATCCAATCTGAGACTATTTCTGAATACAGCACTTGTCACATCATATCACAACAAATCAGCATAGCCCTATCCAATCTGAGACTATTTTCTTAATACAGCACTTGTCACATCATATCACAACAAATCAGCATAGCCCTATCCAATCTGAGACTATTTCTTAATACAGCACTTGTCACATCATATCACAACAAATCAGCATAGCCCTATCCAATCTGAGACTATTTCTTAATACAGCACTTGTCACATCATATCACAACAAATCAGCATAGCCCTATCCAATCTGAGACTATTTCTTAATACAGCACTTGTCACATCATATCACAACAAATCAGCATAGCCCTATCCAATCTGAGACTATTTCTTAATACAGCACTTGTCACATCATATCACAACAAATCAGCATAGCCCTATCCAATCTGAGACTATTTTTTCTTAATACAGCACTTGTCACATCATATCACAACAAATCAGCATAGCCCTATCCAATCTGAGACTATTTCTGAATACAGCACTTGTCACATCATATCACAACAAATCAGCATAGCCCTATCCAATCTGAGACTATTTCTGAATACAGCACTTGTCACATCATATCACAACAAATCAGCATAGCCCTATCCAATCTGAGACTATTTCTTAATACAGCACTTGTCACATCATATCACAACAAATCAGCATAGCCCTATCCAATCTGAGACTATTTTCTTAATACAGCACTTGTCACATCATATCACAACAAATCAGCATAGCCCTATCCAATCTGAGACTATTTCTTAATACAGCACTTGTCACATCATATCACAACAAATCAGCATAGCCCTATCCAATCTGAGACTATTTCTGAATACAGCACTTGTCACATCATATCACAACAAATCAGCATAGCCCTATCCAATCTGAGACTATTTTCTTAATACAGCACTTGTCACATCATATCACAACAAATCAGCATAGCCCTATCCAATCTGAGACTATTTTCTTAATACAGCACTTGTCACATCATATCACAACAAATCAGCATAGCCCTATCCAATCTGAGACTATTTTCTTAATACAGCCCTTGTCACATCATATCACAACAAATCAGCATAGCCCTATCCAATCTGAGACTATTTCTTAATACAGCACTTGTCACATCATATCACAACAAATCAGCATAGCCCTATCCAATCTGAGACTATTTCTTAATACAGCACTTGTCACATCATATCACAACAAATCAGCATAGCCCTATCCAATCTGAGACTATTTCTTAATACAGCATCCTTCTCAAACCCAATTTCTTGATTACCCCTCTCAAGACCAGGTTGATAGTTAGTATTATTGAGAGAAATGCATTATTTATTTTTAGAGAAGTTTGGTGTGAATTGTGCCTTTAAGATTAAGTTTTTATCCCTGTTTGGTAAGTGTGACCGTCTATCTGTGCCTAGTGAAGCGGTTCATGTTATGAGCGACTATGGTGGTACAGTGGCATGCAGTCGTTCAGCTGCACGCAACACAATGACTCCCATTATATTCTGTTCATCCAGCAAATATCTGGGTACATGATACCAACACTGTCCAGTATTGTAAAAAACTGTACTTTGACAAAACTGGTCCCAAGCAAGTCAACAAAAGTCTAGCACACTAGATTTCTTGAGTTTAAAAATGGCAGATATATTTTAACATATATTTTACGAAAATAGTTCACCTTAGAGCCGAAACTGCCTGATCTATGGAATCCGAGAAGGGACATTGTCGCATTGTCGCGTTGTCGCCCTCTCAAAAACAAGCAAAATGAGGCAAAATAAACCAAAGCGCGACACGCGACATTTCACCCTTTTGTCGCATTGTCGCGATGTCGCATGTCGCGTTTTGAATAATATTTTCTATTCTTCCCAAGGGAGACAATGCGACAAAGCGACAATGTCCCTTCCAGGATTCCATACTTATCAGGCATATAGTTGAACCACATGTTAACCCTTTTTTATATTATGTTTTGGGTTCCAATGTTAAGTAATGGAAGTACTATCACCAAAAGCCACACGCTACTCTCTTCACTAGTGTGATTCTGAACTTCATGGTGCCTATGGGGGGACCTTAATGATGCTGGCTAATGGTGCATGAAGCGATAACCCCGGACAGGAGACTCAATGTGAACTGTTGATACCTAACTAATGAAGGAACAACCACTTGGAAGACTCACTGGTGGTACGCCAGCTTGTTTTGTACCGTTTGCCATGATGTGTAGTGTGTTAATAACTGAGGCGTTTGGAAAACCAAGTTTGCAGCTGAAAACCAAAAGACGAGCTCAGTTTTCATTTATTGTCACAGACTGCTTGTAGGGAACGTTGTTTCCCGTCAGTCTCGTCTTCGTCTAACCGTGTGTTTCGTCACACACATGTTCATGAGTCAGTTTTACGCCGCTTTTAACAATATTCCAGCTATATCACGGCTGGGGACACCAGAAATGGGCTTCACACATTGTACCCATGTGGGGAATCGAACCCGGGTCTTCGGCGTGACGAGCGAACGCTACGACTAGGCTACCCCACCGCCCCCATGTTCATGAAGGAATAAAAAAATAGTTTTAGTTTAGTGTCTCGACATAAAAGCACACATCGTGACGACCCTGTCCTAATTCATGCTGTCAGCATGATGGATGTTTTAGGTTGTCAGTGGATCATATCAGAATGAAATGATGACCACGTGATGCCCGATATCAGCTTACCAAACGGATGGAATTCACAGTTAGCGTTTTACTGTGATATACATGGCCACGCATTTCCTGTGAGTTTCTATGCGACATAAGGTTAATTTCGATTTACAGTAGAACATGTATATAACGAATTTTAATGACATTATAAAGGACTATTGACGGGACTTTTAAATTTGTTCGCTATATCCGTTTGTACGCTATATCCGTGTTCGCTATATCCGTGTTCGGTATATCCATGTTCTACTGTGTTATCAGTAACCACATTTGCAAATCATGTAATATTATCAAGTCATTTACTTTTCAAACGGGGTGGTGGAGTAGCTTAGTGGTTAAAGCGTTGGTTTGTTACTCCGAAGACCCGGGTTGGATTGCCCACATGAGTACAATGTGTGAAACCCATTTCTGGTGTCCCCCGCCGTGATATTGCTGGAATATTGCTAAAAGCGGCGTGAAACGTGATTTGTAGTGTGCAGATTCTCTCTCCGTGGTAAACATTTAGATTTCTTCACCATCTCCCCCCGAGACCTGGGATTTGAAGCTTTGAATCAAAAACATTTCTCAAAAATACCTTGCAATAAGTGTCATATAAACTCCCTTGTAACAGTCTAAAGTGAACTGATCTTTAAGTATAATCCTCAGCCTTTTCTTAATGGTCATAAATAATGTATGCAAGATGTTGGTATTTGTGGTTTGTAAACGTCAGCCATATAGGGACATGTTTGTGTCGCTTTTCATGTTCATAGAACTGAAACGCAAAAAATATGATCGCCACACTTGTTAGCCAAAGATAATCACACAGTGTCCCTTCTGTACGTCAAGGCCATGCACGTCGGTGAATCTCCACGACATATGTTACCAATTATCTCATTACGTTATTATAGGTTTGGAGCGTATGAAATATAGATTGAATTTAAACCTTGTAATCCAGGAATCCAAAGGTATGTATTGCTGTTAGTCCAACCAGCTTATGTAAAATTGGATACAGAGAGAAAAATAGCAAAATAATTTCCCAGATGTGACTCAACCCGACAAGAGTAAGGGAATCTGTACTTTAGTGAGAAAGTGTAATCCCAAATATAACATACGTTACATGTGACCACTTTCTAAATGGCATTGTGTATTCATTGTAGAAGACGCAGTAAGGTTTCTGACTGGTTGTAGTTTATATTTGATCTACGATATGACCTGGGAATTAGTAGCTGTCTCAAATTCCTCCTTTCTCCATTTATCACCGGTTTAACAGGTTGTATATTTGAAGTCTAGACCTGCTTTACTTCAGCTCGTGGCGCATCGGTGTAAGATATGTAAATGTTCTCATTCTAAATAGATCATACCGTGTCTAAGAATGTACACTTTTGTTGTCTATTCACTGCAACACACTTACAAAACAAAATTCTGTTTTTCTGTCTGTATGCTATTTGCATATCCTGGCCAGACTACGTCCATACACTAACGGGCTATTGTGAACATAATATACTTTGTCGAAAAGTCTGGTCGATAATGGGCTGAATTATCATCGTTATATAACTCAACCGGTACTTATCATGAAACATTTGTCACGTGTTCTATGCCCTTTGGCCAGTACAGCAGAACGCCTAGACGTAAAGCGTGTCTCGGACTTATGTAACCAGCTGACAGGCGAGTTATGCAAAACGCTATTTTTAATTTACATATATTTCATTTAAACAGAGACAACGTCACTTGGTCAGGTACACACGTAAACGGACATTGACGAATACCTTCCTCGAACAAGGTAATTTTCTAACTTAAATTAAGGTCATCATATTTGTTTTCCTTCATGCGTTTTCATTGAACAGAACAAGTCTACTTCAAGGGTTGGGTAGTTAGTCATTGACAGACATACAACATAAGCTGTTGCTTGCACAAGTATGCCGGGCAGCAGCAGCGTCACACAGGCAATCGTGGCGCAACCTGCCCAGCCACCGTCAGTCTGCCTCAGTCCACGAACTGCGTTATTTCCCCTTGTTTCCAGCCCTGTCATCAGTACGACTACTGAGTCCCATGGGGTACGAGTGCTGCTGTCAATCGCTCTTCAATGTGCTTCTCTGGGTCGCCCTCGAGGACCACAAACTTTATGACTGCTCTGTACTCAAGCTTATCCATTTCTGACGTTTCAATAGGGGTACATATGATTAGATGTCACGTGATCAGAAACTAGCGAGATGTGTATGTCAATATTACGTTTGTGCGAATGATATAAACCATTCTTCAATATCATACAGTTATTTTTATCATGCACATATCAGAAGTATTCTAGGCCCCAAACCTTTTGATAGCCCCTCGTATTCAGAGACAAAGGGTTAGTCTGAGCCACCCCACCCCTTTTGTCCTGAAAGTGTATTACATGACCATTGAAACTCTCGTGAAAACGGGTACAAATGAACTGTGCACCCCCCACCCCTTTCTCAAAAAGCTGTATAAAACCCCATCACTATTTACATAGATAGATTCAATTTACGTACTTCAGGGATTGTATAAAACTTCCTGTTAAAACCGATACCAAGCCTGTGATACAAACATGGTCGTTGTTGGGGTGCATGTCAAAATGCCTAAACGGTATTCGTAGAACACTAAGCATTACTAAGAATTACTAACACATTACCCTACGAGCACACCATACACTGGTTTTATATATGCACGTGTTACAATCAATACGAGCACCACGTGTATAACGTCTTCCCGTCATTCAGCAAATAGCAAGTACTTGGAAATGAACAGATTTCGTTGTGGAGAAGCATATATGGGCCCTCCTCAGTTGACTACTGCTTGAAGAGGGCGACACGTTATTGTTATACGGACTTCTGGCATGGCATTGAGAGCTATTGCAGTTGATGTTTGTCGTCATCCATCGACAATCAACCTGCTGGCCGGAAAACATCAGCAATAGCTAACCAGGTTAAGGAGGACGATCGTGAGTGACAACTCTTTAGGAGGAGAAAGCCCTTCTCAGAATCTTCATGTCTAGTGGCTTGTCAAACACAGAGTGGTTTCGGTTGGCCTATCAGGACAGCACGCCTAACTTGGTGTCAAGCGTGACGACACTGGAATTTGACGTCATGGGGAAGGGTACACTGGTGGGACGAAAGTTGTTCATGGCTGATGGCTAAGGTCGTGTTTGGCGCAATAGAAACACTACATATGTACAACGGATTGTCTTGGAGTAAGTACCGTTTGGCAGAGGTTTTATCGGTGGTATGAGTCTGCCTCTTACAGCACTGTGACCTTGACCTTGTGACATTCAGTCAAAATCAGAATGGACAAGAGAACATGACTGACATCCTACACAGGGTTGTAATGTATTTCAATGGAGATCCTCTGTACACACTGTCCTCACACAGGCCACATCGTACACGTGCCTTGGGGGTTGTCTTATATGAGGAACAGAACACAGCACCCCCACGTCAACATCTGATACAGTCAATGAGGAGAGGGTCAGAGATGTTACTGCAGCCGCCGGAGGCTACACCAGATATTGACATTGTGCTCGGTTACTTACGTCATTTCTTGAGGATATATGCCAGAATCTTGAAAATGCCCGCCCTTGTCAACGTCACACAACCATAGTTATCAGCAGTTCAATATTACAAAAGGGGTCAATGTTTGGCCATATTTGCTTGTGGGTTTTGCGTTTAAAATTGCCATTTGCCATAGGGACATGGTGGGCGAGCTGTCTAAACTAGAGATCCAGAGAGCTTGAGGTGACGGGATCGAGCCTACCTTTGACCGGGTGTGAAAAACCTTGAAGTCAACTTTGTTTGCAGACTCTTTCAGTGTTGTCACAACCCCTAGTGTACAGTACACAACCCTGTGCACTTGTTATAGTGCAAATATGTCACTAATATGTCACTAATATGTCACTAATATTTCACACACAACAGTATAATAACTATGATATGAAATTTATATGAATACACAAAAGTTCCTATGTTGTGATTTTCCTATGTTGTGATTTTCCTATGTTGTGATTTTCCTATGTTGTGATTTTCCGTACACAAACGAGAGTAACTCACTCAGGTTGTAAAATACATGCCGCCAGACATGGACATACTGTAGACAATAGTTAACTGTTTGCACGGCAGTTACCGGCTGCATGTCACTTCCTGATTGACGCGCTGACCACGTAATGATAATCCCACAAGCAAGTCGGCGGTCAATCTGAAATGCTTCTGGCTAAATGAAACGGCAGCCTTGTGTTTTTATTACCACCGTCCGGTCATAGACCGATATACGTTAGGTAATTTATGAGACTATTGTATCAACCAGGAACAACCCATGAAATAACAAAGGGATAATGGTGACAATTATTTACAATTGCTATGCGTTCCTCCGATATATAAGCAGGTACAGTTTGACTGTCATATTTTTTTGGGTAAGGTGGTTTATCCCTTATTAACATTTATTATTTATTATATTAGCTCCCACCTACCCCGTCGGCGAAATTGGCTTACGCCAGAAGCCGACGTTAAACATCCAATTTTGTCGTCGCCTGTCAAGTCACTCTGCATCTGAATAAACCTTGGAACGCTAGCAACTCTGATGTCATCATTATCCTGAATTCATATATTTTATTTTAAGGCAAAAATTACCGTGAGACAGCACGTTCTCACACTTAAAAGAACCCACGAATCCGTTGGTAAATGACCAAATGGTGTCCACGTGAATACGTGCAAACACCCGGTTGCAGGTACAGCAACATGCAGTGAACTTGGACTAAGTATTGTGACGATGTGTCCCAGTTCACCCAGCTGCCAATGGGTAGCTCGTAAGGATGGAACAGTCACATTAACTCTGTGCGCCTAGTGGCTGCAAGAGTTGTATGCTCCCCAGGGAGTCAAAAAATTGAGATTGATAATACGATGTCCCGTTGAGATTGACATCCAATGATCGAGGGAAAAACAAAGCGCCTTTGAGCAGCCTAGCTAGCTGGAACTCGGCGCTATATAAATAGATTATAATAATCATAATAATTTAATTATTCCTTGAGGGTACTACATCCAGATCGTGAGTCGGCAGTTTGCTCCGGTTAGTTGTAACTGATATTATGAAAATATGGTTTCTTTTATCCATGTGTATACATTACTTGGTGGACTAGAGCATGTAATTACCACTGAAGAATTGTAGGGACAATATGATGTTGTACTGCGTAGAAATGAAGCTCTCATTTGGGACATGGTTTGTATTTATTTAGTACCAGTTCAATAACCTTTATAAGAGAAACACATGAGAAACACGGGTCAAGCCCCATCCATGATGTCAACAATGTGTACCCGATGAGATAGATGAAGGAAGGTGTTGTTCAAGATCTGGTCATGTAGGCGTGTAGCCAGTGTGTATGTCTGGTGGACTGAGTACAACCTGGTCCTGTAGGCGTGTATCCAGTGTGTATGTCTGGTGGACTGAGTGCAACCTGTTCCTGTAGGCGTGTATCCAGGGTGTATGTCTGGTGGACTGAGTACAACCCGTTCCTGTAGGCGTGTATCCAGGGTGTATGTCTGGTGGACTGAGTACAACCTGGTCCTGTAGGCGTGTATCCAGGGTGTATGTCTGGTGGACTGAGTACAACCCGTTCCTGTAGGCGTGGATCCAGTGTGTATGCCTGGTGGACTGAGTACAACCTGGTCCTGTAGGCGTGTATCCAGGGTGTATGCCTGGTGGTCTGAGTACAACCTGGTCCTGTAGGCGTGTATCCAGGGTGTATGTCTGGTGGACTGAGTACAACCCGTTCCTGTAGGCGTGTATCCAGTGTGTATGCCTGGTGGACTGAGTACAACCTGGTCCTGTAGGCGTGTAGCCAGTGTGTATGCCTGGTGGTCTGAGTACAACCTGGTCCTGTAGGCGTGTATCCAGGGTGTATGCCTGGTGGTCTGAGTACAACCTGGTCCTGTAGGCGTGTATCCAGGGTGTATGTCTGGTGGACTGAGTACAACCCGTTCCTGTAGGCGTGTATCCAGTGTGTATGCCTGGTGGACTGAGTACAACCTGGTCCTGTAGGCGTGTATCCAGTGTGTATGTCTGGTGGACTGAGTACAACCTGGTCCTGTAGGCGTGTATCCAGGGTGTATGTCTGGTGGACTGAGTACAACCTGGTCCTGTAGGCGTGTATCCAGGGTGTATGTCTGGTGGACTGAGTACAACCTGGTCCTGTAGGCGTGTATCCAGGGTGTATGTCTGGTGGACTGAGTACAACCTGTTCCTGTAGGCGTGTAGCCAGTGTGTATGTCTGGTGGACTGAGTACAACCTGGTCCTGTAGGCGTGTATCCAGTGTGTGTGTCTGGTGGACTGAGTACAACCTGGTCCTGTAGGCGTGTATCCAGTGTGTATGCCTGGTGGACTGAGTACAACCTGGTCCTGTAGGCGTGTATCCAGTGTGTATGCCTGGTGGACTGAGTACAACCTGGTCCTGTAGGCGTGTATCCAGTGTGTATGTCTGGTGGACTGAGTACAACCTGTTCCTGTAGGCGTGTATCCAGTGTGTGTGTCTGGTGGACTGAGTACAACCTGGTCCTGTAGGCGTGTATCCAGGGTGTATGTCTGGTGGACTGAGTACAACCTGGTCCTGTAGGCGTGTATCCAGGGTGTATGTCTGGTGGACTGAGTACAACCTGTTCCTGTAGGCGTGTATCCAGGGTGTATGTCTGGTGGACTGAGTACAACCTGGTCCTGTAGGCGTGTATCCAGTGTGTATGCCTGGTGGACTGAGTACAACCTGGTCCTGTAGGCGTGTATGTGTATGTCTGGTGGACTGAGTACAACCTGTTCCTGTAGGCGTGTATCCAGTGTGTATGTCTGGTGGACTGAGTACAACCTGGTCCTGTAGGCGTGTATCCAGTGTGTATGTCTGGTGGACTGAGTACAACCTGGTCCTGTAGGCGTGTATCCAGTGTGTATGTCTGGTGGTCTGAGTACAACCTGGTCCTGTAGGCGTACACAACCTGGTATCCAGTGTGTATGTCTGGTGGACTGAGTACAACCTGTTCCTGTAGGCGTGTATCCAGTGTGTATGTCTGGTGGACTGAGTACAACCTGGTCCTGTAGGCGTGTATCCAGTGTGTATGCCTGGTTGTCTGAGTACAACCTGGTCCTGTAGGCGTGTAGCCAGTGTGTATGCCTGGTGGACTGAGTACAACCTGTTCCTGTTTCAGCCTGCACATGGAATCATGAGTGCCACCGGCAAGATGGAGTACCGCTTCATGGGCCGGTCTGGGCTGAAAGTGTCCTCCGTATGTCTGGGAACCATGATGTTTGGTGACAGGGAGGTAAGGCGGCCCCACAGTACTCCTCGTCGGAAGGTCGACAGTCGTAATGCTGATGTTACTCGCACATCTTTGTGTATTCACTAATGTGTTGACAGTCTGTGTACGAGATCCCTACTGTGTTGACTGTGTTGACAGTCTGTTATACGAGATCCCTACTGTACCAGTGTGACTGTGTTGACTGGTGTGTTGACAGTCTGTGATACGAGATCCCTACTGTACCAGTGTGACTGTGTTGACTGGTGTGTTGACAGTCTGTGATACGAGATCCCTACTGTACCAATGTGACTGTGTTGACTGGTGTGTTGACAGTCTGTGATACGAGATCCCTACTGTACCAATGTGACTGTGTTGACTGGTGTGTTGACAGTCTGTGATACGAGATCCCTACTGTACCAATGTGACTGTGTTGACTGGTGTGTTGACAGTCTGTGATACGAGATCCCTACTGTACCAGTGTGACTGTGTTGACTGGTGTGTTGACGGTCTGTGATACGAGATCCCTACTGTACCAGTGTGACCACTGGTGTGTTGAGTCTGTGATACGGGATCCCTACTGTACCTGACTGTGTTGACTGGTGTGTCTGAGTTCTGTGATACGGGATCCCTACTGTACCAGTGTGACTGTGTTGACTGATGTGTTGACGGTCTGTGATACGAGATCCCTACTGTACCAGTGTGACTGTGTTGACTGGATGTGTTGACGGTCTGTGATACGAGGATCCCTACTGTACCAGTGTGACTGTGTTGACTGGTGTGTTGACAGTCTGTGATACGAGATCCCTACTGTACCAGTGTGACTGTGTTGACTGGTGTGTTGACAGTCTGTGATACGAGATCCCTACTACCGTACCAGTGTGACTGTGTTGACTGACTGTGTTGTGTGTTGACAGTCTGTGATACGAGATCCCTACTGTACCAGTGTGACTGTGTTGACTGGTGTGTTGACAGTCTGTGATACGACTGATGTGGATCCCTACTGTACCAGTGTGACTGTGTTGACTGGATGTGTTGACAGTCTGTGATACGAGATCCCTACTGTACCAGTGTGACTGTGTTGACTGGTGTGTTGACAGTCTGTGATACGAGATCCCTACTGTACCAGTGTGACTGTGTTGACTGATGTGTTGACAGTCTGTGATACGAGATCCCTACTGTACCAGTGTGACTGTGTTGACTGGTGTGTTGACAGTCTGTGATGACAGTCTGTGGATCCCTACTGTACCAATGTGACTGTGTTGACTGGTGTGTTGACAGTCTGTGATACTGTAGATCCCTACTGTACCAGTGTGACTGTGTTGACTGATGTGTTGACGGTCTGTGATACGAGATCCCTACCACCAGTGTGACTGTGTTGACTGATGTGTGTTGACAGTCTGTGATACAGATCTGTGATACTGTGTTGACTGGTGTGGATCTGTGATACGCAGGGATCCCTACTGTACCAGTGTGACTGTGTTGACTGATGTGTTGACAGTCTGTGATACGAGATCCCTACTGTACCAGTGTGACTGTGTTGACTGGTGTGTTGACAGTCTGGTGTGTGATACGGGATCCCTACTGTACCAGTGTGACTGCCAGTGTGACACTACGAGATGTTGAGTGGTGACTGTGTTGACTGGTCTGTTGACAGTCTACGAGATCCCTACTGTACCAGTGTGACTGTGTTGACTGATGTGTTGACAGTCTGTGATACGAGATCCCTACTGTACCAGTGTGACTGTGTTGACTGGTGTGTTGACAGTCTGTGATACGAGATCCCTACTGTACCAGTGTGACTGTGTTGACTGGTGTGTTGACAGTCTGTGATACGGGATCCCTTCTGTACCAGTGTGACTGTGTTGACTGATGTGTTGACAGTCTGTGATACCAGATCCCTACTGTACCAGTGTGACTGTGTTGACTGGTGTGTTGACGGTCTGTGATACCAGATCCCTACTGCACCAGTGTGACTGTGTTGACTGGTGTGTTGACGGTTTGCAATACAATGTTGACAATGTGTATTGCAGAACCCTTATCCTGGTCAGAGTGACACTGCCACCTCGCATGCCATGCTCGACCGTTTCGTTGACCTAGGAGGCAACTTCATCGACACGGCTGATGTCTACTCCAATGGTCAGTCAGAGGCCATCATAGGACAGTGGTTGAGTGGGTGCGTCTGACAATTTCCGTGTTCAACATTTACCTTGTATGCATAGTATGGTCAACAGATTGAATTGTTTTGTATCTAAGCAGAAGGTTTCCATTACCCAATTGTGTTAATAATTATATGGGTATCAACAAGATAGGTTTTCCTGGTCATCTAGCATTCCCTTCGAGAGCCCGAATGTTTACGTTGCAGACAGTCAGGCGATGTTTCATTTGTTATGCCACCTTGCAGGCGATGTTTCATTTGTTATGCCACCTTGCAGGCGATGTTTCATTTGTTATGCCACCTTGCAGGCGCAGCAGAGACGATGTTGTGCTGGCAACAAAGGTGGGACTCAGATCCGAAAACCGCGGGTTGAGCCGACGATCAATCACACAGTCCTTGGAGAGAAGCCTGGAGAGGTTACAGACACAGTACATAGACTTGTATCAGGTACACAGTCGTGCCCCTTCCCACAAACACAGGCCATTAACTGAGACCATGAACACAAACTAAGGTTACCCCTCCCCACAAACACAGACCATTAACTGAGACCAGGAACACAAACTAAGGTTGTCCCTCCCCACAAACACAGGCCATTAACTGAGACCATGAACACAAAACAAGATTGCCCCTCCCCACAAACACAGGCCATTAACTGAGACCAGGAACACAAACTAAGGTTGTCCCTCCCCACAAACACAGGCCATTAACTGAGACCAGTAACACAAACTAAGGTTGCCCCTCCCCACAAACACAGGCCATTAACTGAGACCAGTAACACAAACTAAGGTTGCCCCTTCCCACAAACACAGACCATTAACTGAGACCAGGAACACAAATTAAGGTTGTCCCTCCCAACAAACACAGACCATTAACTGAGACCAGGAACACAAATTAAGGTTGTCCTTCCCCACAAACACAGGCCATTAACTGAGACCAAGAACACAAACGAAGGTTGTCCCTCCCCACAAACACAGGCCATTAACTGAGACCAGGAACACAAACTAAGGTTGTCCCTCCCCACAAACACAGGCCATTAACTGAGACCAGGGTGCCGTTCCACTAACCGATCTTATCTAAGATCAATCTTAGCAAGTTACGCCAATTTTACAATCGTCTTAGCTAAAAGTTACACCCGTTCCACTAACCGATCTTAGGCCGATCGTAGCCGGTCCCGATCTTACGATCCGATCCAAGCTTAGATCGAGACTCTTTCGTGCGAGAGATAGAGGAATGCGAGGCACGCGTTATCTCCCTTTGCATAGTCAAGCAAATGATAGAAAGTAGTTTACGAACCAACTGAGTGAGTGAGTGAGTTTAGATTTACGCCGCACTCAGCAATAGTCCAGCTATATGGCGGCGGTCTGTAAATAGTCTAGCTAAGATGCATAGCGTTCACTAACATGAGCGTTCATGTTAGTGAACGCTATGTATCTTAGCTATAATAATCGAGACTGGACCAGACAATCCAGTGATCAACAGCATGCGCATCGATCTGCGCAGTTGGGAACCGATGACATGTGTCAACCAAGTCAGCGAGGCTGACCGCCCGATCCCGTTAGTGGCCTCTTACGACAGGCATGGGTTATTGAAGTTCAATATTCCAACACGGTCCTTCATGGGTATTTTTCCAACCAAGTGTCAACGTAGAGAAACAACCTAGAGCAAAATATGAGGGGAGTGAGCACCTTGGTTTCAGGTGCAAGTGCGTGAGAACGCTGGGTATCAAGCATAATATAATAATAATAAATGCCTATTCCACATCCTTGGGCATGTTCAATGCGCTGTGTACAGATAATTTACACGGGAATATTTACAGCCGAGATTATAAGTAATAAACTGAGAACAAAAATAGGTCTGTACTTTAAAAATGTCAATTGTGTCAGAGCTTTTAATATGTGCCTGAACCTTGTCAATCAGAATAAACAAGGCGTGACGAGGCTATAACGTACGTAGAATATGTCAGTGGTCTTGAATAACACGCGGCCTGCCTTTAGAATCCCACACCAAATATGCGCAGTGAAATCAATCATATTTGTATCTTTTTGCTTCAGAACATTGTTCACTTCACGGCTGTCCCTATTCTTAACCATGACGTTGCAATATTGTTGTACAAATGTGTTACACCGACTCGCTCGGTTGTGTTCCCATGACGACAGTGGTCAGACTGGCCTGACATTTGTAAGGCTTCAGTGCAGTGTTTGTTTACATCACAGAAATATACAAATTCATTTCATGGGGGGACTTTAGGGGACGCTCACGGTGAAATGCTCGCTCTTATGTTTCACATAGAATAGGAAAGCCACCATTTTGGTTTATCTACGATTGATTTTAGCTATCCTAAGTTGGTCATGAGCAACTTAGACTTTGAATCTTAACTTTACGATTGACTTAGGTAAGATTGGTTAGTGGAACGGTATACCGATCGTAACGTCACGCTAAGATTGAGATTTTAGGGGTTTACGATTGGCATAGGGCTAAGATCGGTTAGTGGAACGGCACCCTGGAACACAAACTAAGGTTGCCCCTTTCCACAAACACAGGCCATTAACTGAGACCAGGAACACAAACTAAGGTTGCCCCTCCCCACAAACACAGGCCATTAACTGAGACCAGTAACACAAACTAAGGTTGCCCCTCCCCACAAACACAGACCATTAACTGAGACCAGGAACACAAACTAAGGTTGCCCCTCCCCACAAACACAGGCCATTAACTGAGACCAGGAACACAAACTAAGGTTGCCCCTCCCCACAAACACAGACCATTAACTGAGACCAGGAACACAAACTAAGGTTGCCCCTCCCCACAAACACAGACCTAACCCCACAAATTAAGGTTGTCCCTCCCCACAACACAAGACCATTAACTGAGACCAGGAACACAAACTAAGGTTGCCCCTCCCACAAGCACAGACCATTAACTGAGGATCAGGGAAACAAATTAAGGTTGTCCCTCCCCACAAACACAGGCCATTAACTGAGACCAGGAACACAAACTAAGGTTGCCCCTCCCCACAAACACAGACCATTAACTGAGATCAGGAACACAAATTAAGGTTGTCCCTCCCCACAAACAAAGACCATTAACTGAGACCAGGAACACAAACCAAGGTTGCCCCTCCCCACAAACAGATGTCATTAACTGAGACCACTAAGTGTAATCCCAAATATAACATGTTACGTTATACCAGAGACTATATATATTATATGTTCTCTGGTTATGCATGCCAATTACGTTGAAACGGCAATAAAACAATGAAGACACAGGTTTTGGTGACGGCTGTCCCTGTCCCTATGCATTAAGTATCAGTATAAACATATCATGAATAAATCTACTTAGTCATCTAATGCTTCATTTGTGATGGAAAGACAGGAAAGAGGACAAGTGAAGCTAGCAAAGCCTACGCGGGCATTACGTTTTTTTACATGATAGATATTAAAGTTTTGTCAAACGATTAACCGATATGCAACAATGCACAGCAATAGAGACACATGTACTTATCTGGATGTGGTGATCTGTTCAAGTCTAGTATATAAACCGCTTTAAGCAACGTAGCAGTAATATCTATTTTTTTTATAATGTGTACAATCACACCCTTGTATCCGTCGCGAATTCCTAAACAGCAAGGATACTCCTTTGCAGTGTAGGGATGACCTGATTTGTCCCGAACTATACAATGTGTTACTGTCTATATCAGACTCACTTCTGGGACAAGGGGACACCTATTGAAGAGACGTTACGAACGTTTGACGACCTGGTGCGGTGCGGTAAGATCCGATATGGCGGAAACAGTAACCTGTGTGGGTGGATGGTGCAGAAGATTGCAGACATCACAGACCGACTCGGGCTTAATCCATTCATCAGTCTACAGGTGAACTTACACACATGGAACTCTTGTCCCAGCTGCTGGCAAATCTAGGTCTTTTGACTTTCAACATCCAGTCATGCTGTCTCAGATATTCGGTCGAGTTGGCATTAGTGTTGGGATTTGGTTGAAATCTCACAACTGATCAATTTTGTTTTTTCAGATTTTAATGTTCAGGTTGTTAATGCAGATAGGTGTAATGTGTGGTTATCTGTTGTTTTTTGTTTCATTTAGAAACTGCGCAAATTTCACATCCAATGTAAAATGATGCAACTTGCTCTTTTAAAGTGGTGACTAATATATGATGGAGAAAAACTTCCCAGAGTCTTCACAAAATATGCAGTCATGACTTTTCAGCAAGTGAAGTGAGTTTTCTAAGAATTAAACACGTTTTCCGGCCCTGACAACATGTGTGTCTTGTTTACAGCAACGCTACAGCCTGGGTAGCCGTGACTCTGAGTGGGACGCCTTCGCTGTGTGTAACCAGGTGGGCGTCGGCGTGATGGCCTGGGGGACACTGATGAGGTGAGACATTCTGGCGGCATCGGCTTACTATCTACTAGTGTAAAGAGGGAGGTTTCAATATCGCTTTCATGTTAACCGTTTACAGGTGCGTATCGATATTACTGATGTGACGTCATCTTTTAAATCATTCACTCATGCACCTGTATATGTCTTCCAGCTGGATGTATATAATCACATTTGATGCTTGATGCCATCTAAATATAATGATGTTACCAAAATAATGACTAATAGGTGCACTATTACAAAAGCCGTATATCCTGTGACAGCGGCTTGCTGACTGGGAAGTACAAGCAAGGGGAGCTGCCTGTCAACAGTGGTAGGGAGACCCGCCTGGCCTGGCTGGCGGAGGACGAGTCTCGCTGCCGGAGGATCTTCCCTTCCTGGACCAAGATACAGGAGGACACGCGACTGTGGGACACTCTCGACGTTCTCAAGCAGCTCGCCAACACTCACAGTAGGTACCCCTGCAACTCGGTTCTGTCACACAGCTCGCCAACACTCACAGTAGGTACCCCTGCAACTCGGTTCTGTCACACAGCTCGCCAACACTCACAGTAGGTACCCTGCAACTCGGTTCTGTCACACAGCTCGCCAACACTCAAAGTAGGTACCCCTGCAACTCGGTTCTGTCACACACAGCTCGTTCTGCAACTGCCAACACCCACAGTAGGTACCCTGCAACTCGGTTCTGTCACACACACACTCGGTTCTGTCACACAGCTCGCCAACACTCACAGTAGGTACCCTGCAACTCGGTTCTGTCACACAAAGTAGGCTTACCCTGCAGCTCTGCCAACACTCACAAGTAGGTAGGTACCCCTGCAACTCGGTTCTGTCACACAGCTCGCCAACACTCTCGCCAACACTCACAGTAGGTACCCTGCAGGTACTGTCACAAGCTCGGTTCTGTCACACTTGCAAAGCTGTCACACAGCTCGCCACCCGCAGTAGGTACCCTGCAACTCGGTTCTGTCACACAGCTCGCCAAGCACTTCCACAGTAGGTACCCTGCAACTCACACAGTACTCGGGCTCGCCAACACCCACAGTAGGTACCCCTGCAACTCTCGGTTCTGTCACACAGCTCGTCACACAGCAACTCGGTTCCAACACTCACAGTAGGTACCCCTGCAGCCTGCCACACAGCTCGCCAACACTGTAGGTACCCTGCAACTCGGTTCTGTCACACAGCTCGCCAACACCCACAGTAGGTACCCTGCAACTCGGTTCTGTCCCACAGCTCGCCAACACCCACAGTAGGTACCCTGCAACTCGGTTCTGTCACACAGCTCGCCAACACCCACAGTAGGTACCCCTGCAACTCGGTTCTGTCACACAGCTCGCCAACACTCACAGGTAGGTCACACAGCTCGCCAACACCCCTGCTAACATTAACCTCGGCCATATCTGTACAGACATGGTTTTGTATGAAAATCAGTGTCTGTGGTTTTTTAAATGAGCAATCATCATCATAAAATCAACATGGATTCCGATCAGTTTTTATTAGTCAAAGGATCATACGGGTCAGAAAAAGTCGTGGTTTTCCATCGTGGTCACCACGAGAAGTTTTATGTACGTGTTGAAAACCTGTCATTGCAAAAATGCTGGGGGTGCTTAATTAAGTTCTTTGTGTATACATTATCTAGATGCTGCTGGGTGCCACACTTGGGCACTGAGGTCTGTCATGTACTTTACTTTCACTGTTTTGGATTTGTGTAGCTTTTGCAAACTTCCGTGATCAGTGGTATTTGTAAAGAACCATTGGTCAACAGGTTTTACCAAAATCGGACATCTCAACTTGAATAATAGTTAACTATATAAGATATATAGAGAATGTGATATGAATTTGGAATTTAAATTTTGTAACGTTTTCAGAGCTGATATGTTACGTGTGAACGATAAGGAAGGGAGGCGGACAGTATTGATTCATGTCTGGGAAACTGTCCTGTATGTAAAGCACTTGTAGAAGATGAATATCATTTGTTGTTGACATGCTTATAAAGAGCTTCGGATATATTTCTGACTAACAATTTGCAAGTTATACCGTTTAGAAATCTCCTTAAACAATACAAAACTAAGACAGTCTTACACGAAGACCAGTCTAACACGGTATATTAATTATACATACAAAAATAAGAAAATATGTATAAAAATGTTACGAATTAAAGTTCAGCTATATGTATATGCTACAGATATATTTTATTCGGAGTAAATGTTAAGCCATGCAGGTAGACAGGTAAATGGTGTACATAATTTTGGGGGAATTGTTTCATTTTTTTATATAATGATGTACGTATAATATGGGGGCGCGGTGGGCGTGGTGGGCTAGCTGTCTAAGGCACCAGGCTGGTGATCCGGCGAGCTTAAGGTGTCGGGATCGAGCCCACCTGTGACCGGGTATAAAAACCTTGGAGTCAACTTTGTGTGCAGACTCTTTCAGTGTTGTCACAACCCCTAGTGTACAGTACACAACTTGAAAGAACCCACGAATCTAGATGGTGGCCACATGAATACGTGCAAACACCTAGTTGTGGGTACAGCAACGTGCAGTAATGGGTATCACCCAGCTGTGAATGGGTACCTCGTAAGGATAGAAAAGCCCATCATCTTCGTGCCCCTAGTAGCTACACGAGTTCTATGATCCCCAGAGAGTTGAGATTGAATATACAGTGTACGTTTTGGCCGTTGAATGACATCCACGTATTGAAGGAAAGCAAAGCGCCTTTGAGCAGCTGAGCTGGATATCGGCACTATACAAATATTGGTATGTACATGTATGTATATAATAATTCCTCCATACCTGTTTGGAGTATGTATACGGCCCTATGATCTGATGATGATACAGACGTGACAGCCCGACGTGTTGTATCTTCTAGACAGGAGTGTATCCCAAGTTGCACAGAAGTGGGTCCTGCAGAAAAAACATAGCATCAATCATTATCGGCAGCAGGGACTTGCCCCAACTCCAGGCCAACATGGTGGCTGGCCATACCGACTGGGAGCTCTCCCCACAGGAGGTAAAGTATTGTCTTGTCTCATTGTGGTAGGCGCATCGACGTCAATCCTAGATAAGCAACACATATTAGACGATGACGATAATGATGACGATGATTTGGAGATTTTACTTTCGCTTCCCAACAAGATGCTTATTTCGCACACGGACTCGCCAGGCCATGTTTTAAAGAGGGGTGCTTATGACTGAAATATAGGGCAACCTGAAGGGGGCGTTTGGCTTGTATAATGATAAAAAAAATTATGAATTTGGAATTTTACCACAAGTGGTAGAGGGAAGAGGGCGGAAATACATGTATAGGGTGGTTAGATTGGTGTTTGGTAGTTTTTATCTGGTTTGGGGGAATTATTTGGGGTTTTTGCTTTGTTTTTGGTTTTGATTTTTAGTGCTGGTTTTGTTTTGTTGTTGTTGTTTTCTTTTAAAGGGAGGGGCGGAAGGTGGAGGGGATGTGGAATATATGAAGGGTTTAGGTTATATTGTGGGATATTTTTATATTGGAACTTGGGTACAAGTGGGTTATGTGGAATTATATGCGACCAAGAAGGCCAGTTATGATTTATACTTAAGACTTTGAATGTATTGTAGGTTACTAGTGGGCTTGGGGTTGTCGGTAGTGTAGTTTGTAGTGTTAGGTGTGTGTTAGTGTCCAGTGAACTCTGGAGTGTTGTTGGTAGTGTAGCGTGTAAGGTAGTAGGACATGTCCAGTGAACTCTGGAGCACCCTTCTGTGTTGTCGGTAGTGTAGCGTGTAGGGTAGTAGGACATGTCCAGTGAACTCTGGAGCACCCTTCTGTGTTGTTGGTAGTGTAGCGTGTAGGGTAGTAGGACATGTCCAGTGAACTCTGGAGCACCCTTCTGTGTTGTTGGTAGTGTAGCGTGTAGGGTAGTAGGACATGTCCGGAGGACATGGTCGGGCGTCTGTTTCCCTGCAGTGTGTGCAGTTGTGTTTCAGATGTTATGTAGGTGGGAATTAAGGTTTGTGTGACCTGTTTGTATATAATTTGGTTATCACCCTGTTAATAGTTTTAGATGTTATGTAGGTGGGAATTAATGTTTGTGTGACCTGTTTGTATATAATTTGGTTATCACCCAGTTAATAGTTTTAGATATACGGTGTATTTTTAGTTTTTTGAGTGTATTTATTTTCAGTTTTAGTTTTGAATTTGAAACTTGGTACTTACTTTGCCACTTTGGGATGATGTTTTTTGTTTTGATAGGCTTTTGATTTTTTTTTTAATTGATATGTTAAGGTTTACTTCTGGGAGTTGAAGTGCCGCTTTGTCTGTTTTAGTAATGTTTCCAAACACATCGACATGGACAGGGATCCGTATGAACTCTACCTGTTTGCTTAAGCGTGTAGATACTGAGTGCTTTTAAGTATTTCGTGTATTAGCTTGGTTGTGTTGTGCGATAGGTTGTATCACCGTGACACCCCTGGCACTGTGTATCAGTCGGAGTAAGTGATTAATCTCTTACCCCTCTCGTAGCAATAATGCATCAACATCTTGGTGGTAGAGACATTGCTTTTTTCTTTTGCCTGGTGGGTAGCCTAGTGGTTAAAGCGTTCGCTCGTCACGCCGAAGACCCGGGTTCGATTCCCCACATGGGTACAATATGCGAAGCCCATTTCTGGTTCCCCCGCCTTGATATTGCTGGAATATTGCTAAAAGTGGCGTAAAACGTAAACTCACTCACTCACTCTTTTGCCTGGACCAGACAATCCAATGATCAACACCATGAGCCTCGAAATACGCAATGGGGTTACGATGACATGTGTCAACCAAGTCAGCGCGCCAGGCCACCCGGGTTGCTGACGGCCAGGGTGTTGTTGTACAAAACAAACCTTAGGGCTAATTAAGACTGACAGTAAGTCTATGATAAGGTGTGGGAGCTATGATCACCTGAGCGCTAAGGTTGTTTTGTACAACGGCACCCAGTTCCAGTTGCTCTTTTGATATGACGAATGGATACCTTAGCTAGTTTGCAACCCAGCTGTATCCCTGTGTGATATATCTGTGTGATATATCTGTGTGACTTTGTGATTGTTCTGTTGTTGTAGATGCAACACCTACATGACGTGTCGAACATATCGCTTCCTTATGAACAAGAGAGCTTCCGGACAAAGGGTACCATGCAAAACCGCTTCAACCCACAGTTCTAGGCTCGGTGAGGCTTCCGTCACCTGTAGCATCATGTATGTAAATATGTATTGGTAATAAAGCCATTGCCCTTATGTATATAATAGCAGAAAAATCCGAACAAACCCATGTCCTAAAACGTGTATAAATATTTTTATATTTTGAATCTCATTATGTGACATATTTTACGTGCGCTTCGTCCAGCTTTCTGTGCATAGTTTCGGCAGGTGATCTGACTGCAGTGGACATAGTCAAAATAAACTTGAAGAATAAATATTGTTACAAACAGTCAATACTATCTGATGTATTATATGTACGTGAGAATTCCAGAACGAGAACAAAGTTGTTTTCAGGAATCTGAAAACAGCAAGGCAAAGCTGTGAGGAAGGCTGAGTGATACCCCAAGCCTGGTGACACCCAGCGTGACACCCAGCTTCAACTGATCAACATCAACCATATGTTCTAGACATGCTACGTACACATCTCAGTGTTATTCGTGGAACTAATTCGACGTGGAAATGTTTCTGGAGGTCAAGAGATGTAATTTGTCACAATTCTGTATAAATTAAATAAATATAAAATAAAAACATTTGCACTGCACCTGTCCCCAGGTGGATGACACCCAAATGTGAAAACAATTAATGTTATTGGTTCAACAAATATTCCCATGATGTTTTTAGTTTAAAATATGTAAATTGGCGCGATCCTTTCAAAACATTGTAAATGGGAACCACCGCACCGCTCGTTACACAACTGAGGCGGTCCCAAAATTTGAAAACACTCAAGCAATGGTTTTCAAAATATTGGTTGAACAAAATGTCTTCCGACGGACGATAAATCTATATATCCCCGACCGTTTTGCTGATTTTGTGTATTCATTCAGCTTCCAGTCAAAATGCCTTATTTAAGATGTTAGCTGCGTGTTGGTTAACTAGATTATCTCCATTTACTTCTAACCGGTGACCCATGAAGGTCCGGGTTACAATGTTGGTCTTAAGTAACCCATGCTTGTCGTAAGTGGCGACTAACGGGATCGGGTGGTCAGGCTCGCTGACTTTGTTGACACATGTCATCGGTTCCCAATTGCGCAGATCGATGCTCATGTTGTTGATTACTGGATTGCCTGGTCCAGACTCGATTTTTTACAGACCGCGGCCATACAGCTGGAATATTGCTGAGTGCGGCGTAAAACTAAACTCACTCACTCACTCTAACCGGTCTAGAATCAAAAGTATCAGTGGTTCTCAAAATCATCTGTTTTAGAAACATGTTAGGGTGGCGAATCTCAAGGCTAATGTGCCAGTTTAAACTTTCAGCATTAATAACTTAGATAAGGTCCTAAGGGGCTGCAAGGGACCAATTCTAACTTGCACCAAGCGACTTGTGGTGGGTGTGTTGAATATGTGATTTACACTTGAACACCAGGCATGGTCATCTTTGTTTGGGGCATTCAGAAATGTGATATTAAGCATGGAGGTTAAATCATTAATCCTGTTGATTCCACTGCCCCTCCAAATACTGTTCCATTAGGGCTTCACCAGTTAAAATGTGATCAAAGATTTATATTTCCAACAGAACATTAAGCCAGCTTCACACGCATATTTAGAGGTGGCTCAAATGATTCAGCCATGCTACTGGGCTTACTGGATACAGTACTTTTCTATCTGGGGTGTATTTAAGTGAAATGATCATCTCAGTATTTGCAAATGAGATTTTAGAGCTTTAACAAACATTGGTTGTCAGGGATGTATTACATGTTGTACTGAACCTGCAAGAAAACCACCATAACATATTGCCACGGTAATTATACCACTATAACATACTGCCACGGTAATTGTACCACCACAACATACTGCCACGGTAATTGTACCACCACAACATACTGCCATGGTAATTGTACCACCATAACATACTGCCATGGTAATTGTACCACTATAACATACTGCCACGGTAATTGTACCACTATAACGTACTGCCACAGTAATTGTACCACCATAACATACTGCCATGGTAATTGTACCACCACAACATACTGCCACGGTAATTGTACCACTATAACATACTGCCACGGTAATTGTACCACCACAACATACTGCCACAGTAATTGTACCACCATAACATACTGCCACGGTAATTGTACCACCACAACATACTGCCACGGTAATTGTACCACCACAACATACTGCCACGGTAATTGTACCACCATAACATACTGCCATGGTAATTGTACCACCACAACATACTGCCACGGTAATTGTACCACTACAACATACTGCCAATGGTAATTGTACAACATACTGCCACAGTAATTGTACCACCATAACATACTGCCACGGTAATTGTACCACTATAACGTACTGCCACAGTAATTGTACCACCATAACATACTGCCATGGTAATTGTACCACCACAACATACTGCCATGGTAACTGTACCACCATAACATACTGCCATGGTAATTGTACCACTATAACGTACTGCCACGGTAATTGTACCACCATAACATACTGCCACGGTAATTGTACCACCACAACATACTGCCACGGTAATTGTACCACCACAACATACTGCCACGGTAATTGTACCACCACAACATACTGCCACGGTAATTGTACCACCACAAAATACTGCCACGGTAATTGTACCACCACAACATACTGCCACGGTAATTGTACCACCACAACATACTGCCACGGTAATTCAGTTCAGTGGGGAGTATCAGCCTTGGTGTAACAAAGCCCGGTACAGTCCTACTTTGTGTACTGACTTGTAGACCATTTCAGTTGCTTTCACTTTTGTCTGCAAACCGTGAAAATCCGGGTTAGAATTAATTGGTCTTCAGCAACCCGTGCTTGTCGTAAGAGACGACTAACGGGATCGGGTGGTTAGGTGTGCTGACACATGTCATCGTATCCCAATTGATGTCAATCACTGGATTGTCTGGTCCAGACTTGGATTATTTATTTACACACTGTTGTCATATAGCTAGAAAATTGTCGAGTGCAGCGTTAAACAAAAATCACCTTTTTTGTGTGCTCTGCATTATTATGGAATAAGAACTTACTTTTCAGAAAGGAACAGTCTTAACTTCCAGTCTTAATTAAGTAATGTTCATAATGAAGCTGTCTGGTTAATCATCACATTTTCACTTCACACTTGCTCAAAGTCATTTAATATGTCTGCCGTGATACATAATTGGTAGCCCTTAAATTGAATACCACACCAGATCATTCATTTAGTTAACAGAAACACAAGACTCAATAGACTTCATCTCCTTTAATGCTGACCAAATGAACAGGCACCTGATTGCCCTCCTTTCAGCGTTTCATGTCAACACTGTATTGATGTACTGGATCTACATGGTGAGGAACGGGTCTAAAGAGAATCCCAACATCATATTAATTAATCTCATAAATTAATTCAAGAGAGTCAGACTTGCGATCAAGCCATCCCCAATAACTTCGAAATTAAGCAAATACATTCAAATATTTGCAAAAACAAAACGCTTAAGCATGTTCTTCCATTTTCAAACCAAATTGAAACATAATCAACTGATTAACCTCCGGGTTATTTACTTGTAATTGCAGTCCAAACCAGTTGCCAGTATACAGGTGAGACAGATGTCACACTGGGGACTGTTCACACAAGCTCTTACCTTCATGTAAAATACTTTAATTTCATTGGTCAGTGACGCTTCAACAAGTTCCCATGTCACCCCCTCCCAGGAGGGTGACAACTGGAAAAAATATTACTCACTGCCAAGGTAACCGCTAAACACTCCGCCTAGAAGCTGTATCGCTAACAATCCTATGACGCCATCATATGACGCATGCAGTGCACTGAGTTCGAAAACCGTTCGATTGGCCGTTTTTGAGTTCACCATGTACACATTTATTTTACCGACTTTCACTGGTTTATTTAAGTTTGCACACTCAACTTTAACATAATTAACCATTATTATAGCAGGTTTAAGCTTGTCAGAAAATGTTTCACTACTTTTAAACATCCAGATACGAGGCAGACGCCATCTCATATAGTCGGGAGCGACATTCAAAATAAAATAAAATGATATTGTGTACATTTAACATGTCAGTAAGATAAATACGTTGTAAACTTCTCCCTCAGGTAATACAGTCTGATGTACACCTTTGATTCCGGTAAGCGAGGGACCACACCGCTACAAAGAGGCGTACATCAGACCGTATTAAGCGGCCTTCACACAGCAAACTAAAGTTTGACAACACATGTTGTGGAAATTTTAAAAGTTGTCAAACTCACGTATTCACACGCCAAACACATGTTGTCAAACGTTCGTGTCATTTGAGCGCCATGTCTGTATCGGTGCGGTCACGTGACAATTTTGTTGACTGCGATTGGTTGTTTCTGAACAACACGAGTTTGACAACACTTCACACGTCAAACGCGAGTTTGACAACACCCAAAATTTGGCTGAAGGGGTCGTTGTCGGCACAGGTACTACAGATACGTACCCCAGGTATTGTTTTGGTGATAGGGGCGGTGGGGTAGTCTAGTGGTTAAAGCGTTGGCTCGTCACGCCGAAGACCCGGGTTCGAATCCCCACATGGGTACAATGAGTGAAGCCCATTTCTGGTGTCCCCGCCGTGATATTGCTGGAATATTGCTAAAAGCGGCGTAAAACCAAACTCAGTCAGTCAGTTTTGGTGATAAGGAATGAAAGCAAACAAGCTTAATCAACATCTCTTTCTATATTGTTACACAATGAAACACTGAAAGACAGGCAGGAGGAGATGCTACACCAGACATATACGCACCTACAACAGATGGAAACAGGCCACGATAGGAATGTGTTCTCAGGGAAGTAGCATCCACTTGGCACTAAAACTCTAACGCCAGGTTTACAGCACTTAAATGTAGGTATAAAAGCATGCACACGCACACGCACACTAGAACACTGCCCATGAAAGCTTGCCTGTATGCAGGGGACTGAGAAGTTGTCCTTAAAAAGCATAAATAAAATTCATCCCTCAAAGTGACCCCTGCTGACAGTGATTCTAGCGATCAGAATTATGTACCAACCTTCAATTAATTTCCGATAATATGATAACTTTATACCATGGTATTATTTTGTACCTGTACAATGATCTGACAGCCTGTTTGGGAATAATGCCTGAATAAGTTGAATTCCAGACACCTACTAGTACGTCATCTCATGTGAAGATAGCACAAACTCTTTACTGCAATCACTAACAAGTTAGTGACTTAATTTGTAAATAATAATAACACATGTAACACATACAAAAGGAGCTATATGTAATAAACTAAACAATTGGGGTTGCACACAATACACAAGACAATATGGTAAACACCTGGACATGAAAGGAGGATGTACCGAATATTACCGTAGATAAGCCAAATTTTAAAATATGAAACATACAACTTTATGGATGACAACTTCTTATTTAATGCATAGAGCGACATTTCGATGTAGATTCTTACATCGTTATCAAGCTAATTTCATTTTTGAGTCACCAACTTCTAGAATGCCCATCAAACAATAAACCAAAGTTTTGAAGAATATAAATAGGGAGCCTGCTGTAGGGTCGGCTTGCTGTCAGTTGTCTTGTGGTCTGAGCTGGCGGTGATTAGGACCCCATCTACGACCACCCTGGTGGGGGCTTATGTATGAATGTATGAATCATACCATTTTGATACTGATTTTAAGGGTCAAGTTAGGGGGATCGGTTTATCTATGAGATCGGCTTTTCTACGGTAATATACGGTACTGCACATAGAATATGTTCACAAACAGTCCAGGACAAAGAGACAACGTCTGTAAATACATGTGTATACATATATACTGAGTGTATATATATACTGAGTGTATACATATACTGAGTGTATACATATACTGAGTGTATACATATACTGAGTGTATACATAGAACTATGTAACATCTACAACACTTTACACCTCCAGCACACACTGGTGCTGCAGGAGAATGGACTGCAAGGGAATGTAAGGAGCCAGTAGGTGTACATCTTATACCTGTGTAACACGGTACATCTTATACCTATGTAACATGGTACATCTTATACCTGTGTAACACGGTACATCTTATACCTATATAACATGGTACATCTTATACCTGTGTAACATGGTACATCTTATACCTGTGTAACATGGTACATCTTATACCTGTGTAACATGGTACATCTTATACCTGTGTAACATGGTACATCTTATACCTATATAACATGGTACATCTTATACCTGTGTAACATGGTACATCTTATACCTGTGTAACATGGTACATCTTATACCTGTGTAACATGGTACATCTTATACCTGTGTAACATGGTACATCTTATACCTATATAACATGGTACATCTTATACCTGTGTAACATGGTACATCTTATACCTGTGTAACATGGTACATCTTATACCTATATAACATGGTACATCTTATACCTGTGTAACATGGTACATCTGATACCTATATAACATGGTACATCTTATACCTGTGTAACATGGTACATCTTATACCTGTGTAACACGGTACATCTTATACCTGTGTAACATGGTACATCTGATACCTATATAACATGGTACATCTTATACCTGTGTAACATGGTACATCTTATACCTGTGTAACATGGTACATCTTATACCTGTGTAACACGGTACATCTTATACCTATATAACATGGTACATCTTATACCTGTGTAACATGGTACATCTGATACCTATATAACATGGTACATCTTATACCTGTGTAACATGGTACATCTTATGCCTATATAACGTGGTACATCTTATACCTGTGTAACATGGTACATCTGATACCTATATAACATGGTACATCTTATACCTGTGTAACATGGTACATCTTATACCTGTGTAACATGGTACATCTTATACCTGTGTAACACGGTACATCTTATACCTATATAACATGGTACATCTTATACCTGTGTAACATGGTACATCTGATACCTATATAACATGGTACATCTTATACCTGTGTAACATGGTACATCTTATACCTATGTAACATGGTACATCTTATACCTGTGTAACATGGTACATCTTATACCTGTGTAACATGGTACATCTCATACCTGTGTAACACGGTGCATCTCATACCTGTGTAACACGGTGCATCTCATACCTGTGTAACACGGTACATCTTATACCTGTGTAACATGGTACATCTTATACCTGTGTAACACGGTACATCTTATACCTGTGTAACACGGTACATCTTATACCTGTGTAACATGGTACATCTCATACCTGTGTAACACGGTACATCTTATACCTGTGTAACACGGTACATCTTATACCTATATAACATGGTACATCTTATACCTGTGTAACATGGTACATCTGATACCTATATAACATGGTACATCTTATACCTGTGTAACATGGTACATCTTATACCTGTGTAACATGGTACATCTTATACCTGTGTAACATGGTACATCTCATACCTGTGTAACACGGTACATCTGATACCTGTGTAACACGGTACATCTCATACCTGTGTAACACGGTACATCTCATACCTGTGTAGTTGCCATACACGTTACACCTGTGTATGGTGTATTAGTAGTGCATCATATGCCTGTGCGTGTGTACTCACAGTAGATCCTATACTTGTTCCGATGTACACAAAACAGACCATATGGTCTGTGCAGGATATCTTCTTGCAGTTACATGCAGTTTCCCCATGCCAAATGACCTGCCATGTCCTGAACAGGGCAACCACAGGGCAACCACACACCAGTCAGGTGCATAGCAAGCCAATTTTTTCGTGTAAGCCAGATAGGTTTCAAAGGTTTATGTTAAGATAGTATTGAGGGCTTGCCCAACTTTTTAGCAACAATCAGGTGTAAGCCCAGGATTTTTATAATGGTAGCTATACCCCTGCAAGTTTATGCTGCTTACGATAAGCCTTTCATCAGCCATGCTGCACCACACAGTGGAGCTACAACACTACAACATATGCAGCTATTGCCAGAAGTCAAAGAGACAAATCACTGACATGTGTCATATATGTCTGAATCTAGGTCAAGGTCGTCATTCAGCCTTGTTGTGTTGAACACTCCTATTGAGTGATTTGGATGGCCATCAAATGGGTAGCTCTCTTACTGCGAAAAGGCGTTACAAAAACATGTTTAATTAAATTCAGTACTAGTATTCATTTTAGAAACCCAGATGAGGTCAATCATTATCCAAATATATTGAGAGGTGTTAGACAAAGGAAACCATCTCAAAGTTTGTCATCTTTGTCATTTAATCAAATATGCTGGTTATCTAACTCATTATTAAACAGGCAATATTTATCATCCGTAACTGGTTTCCACAGGAGATATCACTTTGATGATCAAGATCTGTCTCCAAGGGGACATTGTTCAACCAGATTGCATCACAACCTTTTCAGACCTTCATGGTGCAATAACATCAGGATGGAATAACATCACTTATCTTCGTCACTGAAGGTGGTTAGTTGCACTGTTTACATACACGTGCCAGTGATAGTGTAGTTCAAGGTCAAGGTCACAAAGACAAATACTATGTTAATCCAATCAGACGACACTGACTCGACCAAGGAGCATGACTCCAGGCATCTTAGATCACTTTTATATATGTTTGGTTTGGTTGTTGTTTAACGCCGCACTCAGCAATATTCCAGCTATATGGCACCGTCTGTAAATAATTGAGTCTGGACCAGACAATCAAGTGATCAACAGCATGAGCATCAATCTAAGCAACTGGGATACGATGACTTGTGTCAACCAATTGCGTGAGCCTGACCACCCGACCCGTTAGTCGCCTCTTACAACAAGCATGGGGTACGGAAGATCACTTCTAACCCGGATCTTCATGTGTAGTTTACATACAAGACTCCAGTGTTACAGAACAAGCAAAAAGAAAGAAGTAGCTTCGAGACATTGCTGTAAACAATACACACGTTCCTCAGGTTCCTCCAACTTCACTTGGCCATTACTGTTTACATACACAGAATGTAGGAAGATTGATAAACAAGTGATAACCCATGTGACTTCGGACATCAAATATATCCACTCATCACTCAGCAAGCCCCAGACACTGATCTACTCCTGCTGTTATCAAACATCACCTGCCCGGTGAGATGTGTACTGATCATTTTCTTAATATCTTCAGCAGCCTGCTGGTCACGACCCCCTCAAAACAATGTTAAGCTTTCCAAGAACACTAAACAAATAATACAATGCATAGATGTATTTGGGACTTAAAAATATTCACAAAATTTGATAATCTAACTGATCTAAACATTTATAATAAAACCAGTCATTTATCCATCTGTGCATCAAAGCTGAAGAGGCAAGTATCACAGACGTCCCCTGGTCACTCAGTCACAGCTGCCTTCCACCAAACTGCTGTACAATCACAGGATTTATGGATCCTTGTCTGCCTGGGCATCCATGTTGGCTGATGCCTGTTCCCCAGGTCTACTTGGACATTCCCAGGTGAAGCATCTTGCGGGCCAAGGATGGACCGTTCCAGTAGCCCCTGCAATATACAACATCCATTAATGTGTATTTGCATCACACATCCACGTCGCCCCTGTAACATACAACATCCATTAATTTGTGATAATCTAGTTGTTAAACTGTCCTCTGCTGACAGCTTTTCAAAAAAGTGTAAATATATTTATTATCAGTATATATCATCACGATATGGCTGAAATATTGCCGAGGTGACGTACAATTTTAACTCACTCACATACATCATCCTTCAAAGTGTATATCTATCAAGCATTCCTGTCTCTCTAGGACTCACACCGACATAGATCAGGATCGATGAAGCCCCTTAAACAAGCCCCATCTCTCTAGGAATCACACAGACATAGATCAGGATCGATGAAGCCCCTTAAACACGATTCATCTCTCCAGGACTCACACCGACATAGATCAGGATCGATGAAGCCCCTTAAACAAGCCCCATCTCTCTAGGACTCACACCGACATAGATCAGGATCGATGAAGCCCCTTAAACAAGCCCCATCTCTCTAGGAATCACACAGACATAGATCAGGATCGATGAAGCCCCTTAAACAAGCCCCATTTCTCTATAGATCAGGGACTCACACAGACATAGATCAGGATCGATGAAGCCCCTTAAACAAGCCCCATCTCTCTAGGACTCACACAGACATAGATCAGGATCGATGAAGCCCCTTAAACAAGCCCCATCTCTCTAGGACTCACACAGACATAGATCAGGATCGATGAAGCCCCTTAAACAAGCCCCATCTCTCTAGGACTCACACCGACATAGATCAGGATCGATGAAGCCCCATAAACAAGATTCATCTCTCCAGGACTCACACCGACATAGATCAGGATCGATGAAGCCCCTTAAACACGATTCATCTCTCCAGGACTCACACCGACATAGATCAGGATCGATGAAGCCCCTTAAACAAGCCCCATCTCTCTAGGAATCACACCGACATAGATCAGGATCGATGAAGCCCCTTAAACAAGCCCCATCTCTCTAGGACTCACACAGACATAGATCAGGATCGATGAAGCCCCTTAAACAAGCCCCATCTCTCTAGGACTCACACCGACATAGATCAGGATCGATGAAGCCCCATAAACAAGCCCCATCTCTCCAGGACTTACTTGAGCATAACATTCCAGTACAACTCTGGCAGGAAATCTTTCTTCATGTGATACATGAGTCTCCTCTCCTTGCCCTGGTCAATGGGGAAAGTCTCCAGGGGCTGGCCAGCGAAGTCAAACTCTGCCAGGATGCACTTGTTGTTCCCAGTGAGGAGAGGACAAGACGTGTAGCCGTCATACTGAAACACAAGCTCCAGGCTGGAACAAGTCTCAAGGAAATACAAAATGAAACACTATTCTTGCACTGAGGACCACAAACATATAGCGATATTCAGTACATGGTAACAGTCATAGAAACATTACAATACAAATGAAAGGGTGTGGCAGGTACAACTGTCAGGGAGTGGGAGGTACAACTGTCAGCAAGTGGGAGGTACAACTGTCAGGGTGTGGGAGGTACAACTGTCAGGGAGTGGGAGGTACAACTGTCAGGGAGTGGGAGGTACAACTGTCAGGGAGTGGGAGGTACAACTGTCAGGGAGGGGGAGGTACAACTGTCAGGGAGTGGGAGGTACAACTGTCAGGGAGAGGGAGGTACAACTGTCAGGGAGAGGGAGGTACAACTGTCAGGGAGGAGGGAGGTACAACTGTCAGGGAGGGGGAGGTACAACTGTCAGGGAGTGGGAGGTACAACTGTCAGGGGAGGAGGAGGTACAACTGTCAGGGTGTGGGAGGTACAACTGTCAGGGGAGTGGGAGGTACAACTGTCAGGGGAGAGGGAGGTACAACTGTCAGGGAGAGGGAGGTACAACTGTCAGGGGAGAGGGAGGTACAACTGTCAGGAGAGGGAGGTACAACTGTCAGGGAGAGGGAGGTACAACTGTCAGGGGTACAACTGTCAGGGGAGGGAGGGGTACAACTGTCAGGGGAGGGACTGGGAGGTACAACTGTCAGGGGAGAGGGATGTACAACTGTCAGGGGAGGTGGGAGGTACAACTGTCAGGAGTGGGAGGTACAACTGTCAGGGGAGGGAGGTACAACTGTACAACTGTCAGGGGAGGGATGTACAACTGTCAGGGAGAGGGAGGGAGGTACAACTGTCAGGGAGAGGGGGAGGTACAACTGTCAGGGGAGGGGGAGGTACAACTGTCAGGGGAGGGAGGTACAACTGTCAGGAGAGGGAGGGTACAACTGTCAGGGAGAGGGAGGTACAACTGTCAGGGGAGAGGGAGGTACAACTGTCAGGGAGAGGGAGGAGGTACAACTGTCACTGTGGGAGGTACAACTGTCAGGGGAGAGGGAGGGGAGTACAACTGTCAGGGGAGGGAGGTACAACTGTCAGGGAGAGGGAGGTACAACTGTCAGGAGGGAGGAGAGGTAGGGTACAACTGTCAGGGAGAGGGAGGTACAACTGTCAGGGGAGAGGGAGGGGGTACAACTGTCAGGGGAGAGGAGGGAGTACAACTGTCAGGAGTGGGAGGTACAACTGTCAGGGGGAGAGGGAGGTACAACTGTCAGGGAGGAGAGGAGGTACAACTGTCAGGGGAGAGGGAGGTACAACTGTCAGGGAGAGGGAGGTACAACTGTCAGGGAGAGGGAGGTACAACTGTCAGGGAGAGGGAGGTACAACTGTCAGGGAGTGGGAGGTACAACTGTCAGGGAGAGGGAGGTACAACTGTCAGGGGAGAGGGAGGTACAACTGTCAGGGGAGGAGGGAGGTACAACTGTCAGGGAGAGGGAGGTACAACTGTCAGGGAGTGGGAGGTACAACTGTCAGGGAGTGGGAGGTACAACTGTCAGGGAGAGGGAGGTACAACTGTCAGGGAGGAGGGAGGTACAACTGTCAGGGAGAGGGAGGTACAACTGTCAGGGAGAGGGAGGTACAACTGTCAGGGAGTGGGAGGTACAACTGTCAGGGAGAGGGAGGTACAACTGTCAGGGAGAGGGAGGTACAACTGTCAGGGAGAGGGAGGTACAACTGTCAGGGAGAGGGAGGTACAACTGTCAGAGGGTACAACTGTCAGGGAGGGAGGTACAACTGTCAGGGAGACTGGGAGGTACAACTGTCAGGGAGGAGGGAGGTACAACTGTCAGGGAGGGGGTACAACTGTCAAGGGAGAGGAGGTACAACTGTCAGGGGGGAGTACAACTGTCCAGGGGAGGCAACTGTCAGGGGAGAGGGAGGTACAACTGTCAGGGGAGAGGGAGGTACAACTGTCAGGGGAGTGGGAGGTACAACTGTCAGGAGAGGGAGGTACAACTGTCAGGGGAGGAGGTACAACTGTCAGGGAGAGGAGGTACAACTGTCAGGGAGGGGAGGTACAACTGTCAGGGGAGGGAGAGTACAACTGTCAGGGAGGGAGGTACAACTGTCAGGGAGTGGGAGGTACAACTGTCAGGGAGGGAGGTACAACTGTCAGGGGAGGGAGGTACAACTGTCAGGGGAGTGGGAGGTACAACTGTCAGGGAGAGGGAGGTACAACTGTCAGGGGAGAGGGAGGTACAACTGTCAGGGAGAGGGAGGTACAACTGTCAGGGGAGTGGGAGGTACAACTGTCAGGAGGGGAGGAGGTACAACTGTCAGGGAGGAGGGAGGTACAACTGTCAGGAGGGAGGTACAACTGTCAGGGAGAGGGAGGTACAACTGTCAGGAGAGGGAGGTACAACTGTCAGGAGAGGAGGTACAACTGTCAGGGAGGTACAACTGTCAGGGGAGGGAGGTACAACTGTCAGGGAGAGGGAGGTACAACTGTCAGGGGAGGGAGGTACAACTGTCAGGAGAGGGAGGTACAACTGTCAGGGAGAGGAGGTACAACTGTCAGGAGGTGGGAGGTACAACTGTCAGGGAGGGGGAGGTACAACTGTCAGGGGAGGGAGGGTACAACTGTCAGGGGAGGGGAGGTACAACTGTCAGGAGAGGGAGGTACAACTGTCAGGGAGAGGGGAGGTACAACTGTCAGGGAGTGGGAGGTACAACTGTCAGGGAGGGAGGTACAACTGTCAGGGAGAGGAGGTACAACTGTCAGGGAGAGGGAGGTACAACTGTCAGGGAGGAGGTACAACTGTCAGGGGTGTCAGGGGAGGTACAACTGTCAGGGAGAGGGAGGTACAACTGTCAGGGAGAGGGAGGTACAACTGTCAGGGAGGAGGTACAACTGTCAGGGAGAGGGAGGTACAACTGTCAGGGAGTGGGAGGTACAACTGTCAGGGAGAGGGAGGTACAACTGTCAGGGAGAGGGAGGTACAACTGTCAGGGAGGGGGAGGTACAACTGTCAGAGAGTGGGTAGCGTTAATACTAACCTGACTCTGAGGTTTACCACCAGACATAACGGCCAGCAGGTTCTTCTTCAGTATACCGCTTTGAGTAGCTGAAATGAAAATAAACAAACTAGTTATTTCACAACTGATGTTAATTTCATATAAAAATGAACATAATCACTTGTGTGATTTTTACATAAAATTTCTGAACACAGATTATGTTACAATGAATTGATTTGTTGATCGTGCTGATTCACATCTTGGAATATAGGTGCATTACCATCAGTGAAACATCTAAATGACAGAAACATCTATGAGTTTCTTCAGTTACAAACGGGTTTTACCAAAACAAGGAAAAAGGCAGTCTACATGATTCAGAAATGCCATTGGTGATGTTTGTTTACTAGTCATGACTAGTGGTTCTACCTACTTCCCCGTGTACTACAGCACAATCTTAGGTTGACCCTGACCCTGTACTGACCTGCCGCGGCTGCTGTTTTAGAGGTCGGCACGCTAGTGCAGTCACCAATACCAAATATGTTGGGGTACTTCACATGCTGCAGGGTTTCCTTGCTGACGTCCAGGTAGCCATCCTGGTTGACCAGACTGCTCTGTCGGAGTGGGTCGGGTGCCGACATGGGAGGGGTGACATGTAAGAAGCTGTACTGAAAGTACGTCCACACGTCAGTTGAAATCAATTCTAACTTGGTACAGTTATAGTACTGTCAATAGTCTTGTTTTTTGTACATGGAGCAAGCGAGTGTGGTTTTACGCCAAATTTTACTAGTTTTAGCAATATTCCAGCAGGGGACACCATAAATGGGTTTCTCACACTGTACTCATGTGGGGAATCGAACCCAGGTCTTCAGCATGATGAGCGGACACTTAACCACTAGGCTACCCCACCACCCTTGTACATGGAGGTACCTGGTATGTTTATTGTACATGGATGACTGGGGTACCTGGTATGTTTATTGTACATGGATGACTGGGGTACCTGGTATGTTTATTGTACATGGAGGTATGTTTACTGTACATGGAGGACTGGGGGTACCTGGTATGTTTACTGTGGTATGTTTACTCACATGGACACCTGGTATGTTTATTGTACATGGATGACTGGGGCACCTGGTATGTTTACTGTACATGGAGGACTGGGGTACCTGGTATGTTTATTGTACATGGATGACTGGGGTACCTGGTATGTTTATTGTACATGGCTGGGGTACCTGGTATGTTTATTGTACATGGATGACTGGGGCACCTGGTATGTTTACTGTACATGGATGACTGGGGTACCAGGTATGTTTATTGTACATGGATGACTGGGGTACCTGGTATGTTTACTGTACATGGATGACTGGGGTACCTGGTATGTTTAGTGTACATGGATGACTGGGGTACCTGGTATGTTTATTGTACATGGATGACCGGGTACCTGGTATGTTTACTGTACATGGAGGACTGGGGTACCTGGTATGTTTATTGTACATGGATGACCGGGTACCTGGTATGTTTCAGTTAGTCCTTCTGGGCTGTCCAGGTCCACAAAGACCGCCTCCTTCTTGTCTGGCCGGACCTCAACCAGGCTCCGTCTTTAGTTCACCTCAATATTCCTGTATGTGAAGTCAGGTCGAACACTTCAATAAGCACTGGAGCATTACAAACTGTCCTAGTGTTTGCTTTCATATCTAGTTGCTTGTATGAAAAACAAATTAGCTTATCTGACCAAATAACATTAAAGTCACATCTATGCCGTATCTAAATTTGTCTTCAATAAGGCAGTGTTAAATGAACAAATAAACTAATGCTGCTGTTTGTGCCTGCAGTCTAATACAGCATGTATGGATTATTCCAGCTAGGTTCACAGTCTCTAATCCTGTGATTGATATTATGAGCACTGATCAACGATGCACATGCCATTAACCAAATCACTGAGTCTAACAGCCTATTCAGTTAGGTCTCCTCTTGCAACAAGCATGGGCTGCTGTTTGAGACTACTCAGACCTGGAACCACTATGAGGGACAAACAAAATGGTATTTTATTTCATCGACTTACCTGTCACCATAATCTGCACAGGACCTACTGTTATAGAACATTACTCTGAACAGTGGAGCACTATTAATCCACACTATAGAATTGCACAGGACCTAGTCTGAACAGTGGAGCGCTATTAATCCACACTATAGATATACACAGGACCTAGTCTGAACAGTGGAGCACTATTAATCCACACTATAGAATTACACAGGACCTAGTCTGAACAGTGGAGCACTATTAATCCACACTATAGAATTACACAGGACCTAGTCTGAACAGTGGAGCACTATTAATCCACACTATAGAATTACACAGGACCTAGTCTGAACAGTGGAGCACTATTAATCCACACTATAGAATTACACAGGACCTAGTCTGAACAGTGGAGCACTATTAATCCACACTATAGAATTACACAGGACCTAGTCTGAACAGTGGAGCACTATTAATCCACACTATAGAATTACACAGGACCTAGTCTGAACAGTGGAGCACTATTAATCCACACTATAGAATTACACAGGACCTAGTCTGAACAGTGGAGCACTATTAATCCACACTATAGAATTACACAGGACCTAGTCTGAACAGTGGAGCACTATTAATCCACACTATAGAATTACACAGGACCTAGTCTGAACAGTGGAGCACTATTAATCCACACTATAGAATTACACAGGACCTAGTCTGAACAGTGGAGCACTATTAATCCACACTATAGAATTACACAGGACCTAGTCTGAACAGTGGAGCACTATTAATCCACACTATAGAATTACACAGGACCTAGTCTGAACAGTGGAGCACTATTAATCCACACTATAGAATTACACAGGACCTAGTCTGAACAGTGGAGCACTATTAATCCACACTATAGATTATTACACAGGACCTAGTCTGAACAGTGGAGCACTATTAATCCCACATTACACAGACCTATCTGAACACAGGATTACACAGGACCTAGTCTGAACAGTGGAGCACTATTAATCCACACTATAGAATTACACAGGACCTAGTCTGAACAGTGGAGCACTATTAATCCCACACTATAGAATTACACACAGGACCTAGTCTGAACAGTGGAGCACTATTAATCCACACTATAGAATTACACAGGACCTAGTCTGAACAGTGGAGCACTATTAATCCACACTATAGAATTACACAGGACCTAGTCTGAACAGTGGAGCACTATTAATCCACACTATAGAATTACACAGGACCTAGTCTGAACAGTGGAGCACTATTAATCCACACTATAGAATTACACAGGACCTAGTCTGAACAGTGGAGCACTATTAATCCACACTATAGAATTACACAGGACCTAGTCTGAACAGTGGAGCACTATTAATCCACAACAGTGGACAGTGCACTATTAATCCACACTATAGAATACACAGGACCTAGTCTGAACAGTGGAGCACTATTAATCCACACTATAGAATTACACAGGACCTAGTCTGAACAGTGGAGCACTATTAATCCACACTATAGAATTACACAGGACCTAGTCTGAACAGTGGAGCACTATTAATCCACACTATAGAATACACACAGGACCTAGTCTGAACAGTGGAGCACTATTAATCCACACTATAGAATTACACAGGACCTAGTCTGAACAGTGGAGCACTATTAATCCACACTATAGAATTACACAGGACCTAGTCTGAACAGTGGAGCACTATTAATCCACACTATAGAATTACACAGGACCTAGTCTGAACAGTGGAGCACTATTAATCCACACTATAGAATTACACAGGACCTAGTCTGAACAGTGGAGCACTATTAATCCACACTATAGAATTACACAGGAAATCATCCAGAATACTCAATGTGTGGGTGAACCATGACCATTCCAAAGTTGCCAAACTATCCTTTTGTCTGTGCCTCGTACCTGTCTTTGACTATATCCAACAGTCTTTCTGCATATTTCTTCACCCCAAATATGACCCCAAGAGAGGTGTTGAAGATCACGTTGGTTTTGTCTCTCTTGCCCGCCTGCAACAACACAAGTATGGAGTCATACATGCATCAGGCATAACGTCAGTAATAGTCATTCACAACACACTTAATTAAAACAGGCAGGGCTTTAACATTTCTCTGCAACTATGCTGGAGAACTTGTGTCAAGTTATCAGTGACATATGTACAAAACAGCACCAGGGGCGGATACAGTGTGTGTTTTGTGTGTGGTGTGTGTGTGTGTGTGTGTGTGTGTGTGTGTGTGTGTGTGTGTGTGTGTTCTCTTGAGAAAAGGAGGGGTGTTTTCATTGGTCATATAATAAACTATCAGGACAAAAGGGGGTGGGGGGGTGAGCACCCCTGCAGTATCTACAGTATCTACAATAATTGACTCCATAAACTTCCACCAAAATATAACCACTTCCAACAATCTTTCAACTTTACTAAAAAAAAATAATTCAGTACATGTTTAATTATTTTTTTAATATTTTACAAATGCAACTAGTTTGTGTGTTTGTTGTTTACCTTCCTGAGGTAGTGGTCAGCTAGGTACATAATCTTCTGAGGTGCTCCGGCACACTTGATGGGGGTGTTGGGGAAGGTGAAGATGGCGTTTCCCCCCTGCAGCGCCTCCAGAGCTGGGAATGTCTGTGTCACGGTCTCACTCCAGTAGTTGGAGCACACCGACTTGTCCACTGTGAACGCTTCAGGTAAACCTTTAATCTGCAATATGGACAACATGAGGTAGGTCCGGCCCCCGGAGCTGGTCACACACCCATGAATCAGGCCTCACTATACACCATCAGCAGGGGTACTGGTGGGATACTTGAGGGAGCTTAAAGTTGATTTCAGATACTGTCAGCCTCAGTGGGAGTAAACAACTGAATTCAAACAACAATGAAACTAACATGAAATTGTGAATAGTTACAAGAAATTATATACCCATGCTGCACTGTTCTGTAAAAAAAATTCTGTAACAGACACAAGAAAACTTGTCATTCTGTTGGGGGGTGATTAATGAGTGAGATTGTTTTTCCCACCACTTGTAGCAATATTCCAGCAACATCAAGGCGGGGGACACCAGAAATGGGCTTCACAAATTGTACCCAAGTGGGGAATCGAACCCAGGTCTTCGGCGTGACAAACAAACGCTTTAACCACTAGGCTATCCCACAGTGTGACTTGTAGTAACAACCTGTAGCATGCAAAACAGTTGCAATGTTAGAACATCCCAATCTTAACAAATTTTAACTGCATACAACTAATTGGAGCCTATTATTGTAAGATATAGGACTTGTCCTAATTCCAGTACTTCCCTGGGTGGCATTTAGAAACTGGTATGATGAAGAGGAATATTTCAGTATGGATAGACAACTTTTTTACTGCAATAGAGGCAACATTTCGGTGTAGATGCCAACTCTTGCTTGATAACGGCATCTACACGTCTATGTACAAAGAAATGTTCCTCTTCAATTCACAGACTTTCCACCAATCAGATCGCTTAGATCTGTGTCCATCCCTTTGTTTAAGTGGACATCATGTCAGAGACATGACTGAAGAAACTTGATTTTACCAGAGAAGAAACTGAATGGTGTGTCACTTGAGAATCCAGTTGCAAAACCACACTGAATTATATTTGTTCTTCTTTTTAGTGACTGTGATAGATATTCCTCTCTTCTTCACATGACAAATCCATGTATTATTGTTTCAACACGTCGCAACATGAGAATGTACCTTTATAAAGACTTACACATGGACTGGTCTGGAAGTTGGACAAATGCAGTCATGGTTGATATGTTAAGTTTTACCAGGGGTGCAGAAAATCACTGCCCACCTTGCCCAATATTGCAACAACTACTAAATGTCACCCATCCACATCAGTTGTTTACTTCCTGGCTCTGATTTCACACTTTAGGACACTCTCTCTGACTGGTTGAGCGGAGTACTAAGATGAGTTCAAACTTGTGCAACAATATGTGTGAATAAACACTGCCATTTAGAAAGTGGCCAGATGTAACATATGTTATATTTGGGATTGCACTTTCTCAGTAAAGTACAGATTCTATCACTTTTGGTGGGTTGAGTCCCATCCAGGGCTCGAACCCACACCCTCAGAATCAGGCACCTAATCGCCAGCACACAAAGTTAGGGATTGGTAACCCAGTTGTGTTCCCACCCTCATTTGGAGAGTTGACCTGTGTTTGAGCTGTTGCATACCCCTGATTAGCAATTAGTTTTACTTACTTACTCTCAGCAATTCATGGCTTGCAGGGGACGGTGGGTCCCTAGTGGTTAAAGCGTTCGCTCGTCACACCGAAGACCCGGTTTCGATTCCCCACATGGGTACAATGTGTGAAGCCCATTTCTGGTGTCCCCCGCCGAGATATTGCTGGAATATTGCTAAAAGCGGGCGTTAAACCATACTCACTCACTCACTCATGGCTTGCAATGCACTCTACCACTAATCTGGTGGCCCTACTGTTCACTGATGGGACACTTACCTCACTGTAGTTGAGCTGCATACCCATCGCTACCACCAGGAAGTCGTAGCCTATCTGGAAACACCACAATATCACATCACAAGCAGTCAAATGTGAGGAACAAGGCTAACAGAGAACCACAAGGATCTACCGTATGGTTCTAGAACAAATAATAATTTGGTTTTTTTCAACATCGTCATTGCATTCAGAGTTCAAGCCTTGTGCCCAAATATGATTTGTAAACTTCCATCAACTGATAAATACTTGACAATACTGTTTACAAGAAACAGGAACTGCCATTCTAAATTTCAGCTTTGTTTATAAGGCAGTTTCAGAGGATCTGTTTAAAGGTGTGGTAAAATAGCAAAAGTAATCTAGCAACACCAGACAAACAGAGGTACATGAAAATCACAGTCCATGAAAAATGAAAATGTCAATACATGCCCAAAAATGTATATTACATGTAATTCCAACAAGCACATACTTACTGTAAGTCAAATTTCATTGCATGATTAATGACCAAAAATGACACAATATGGCCACCATGGCAGACGACAGTTTCATAGAATTTCAGTCATCTGAGCTCCAAATATAGCCAACATGCAGGAAACTGGTGCAGTACTGGAATACTTACACCATGCTGTGTTAAAGTTGGACTAAAGTTTGCATTAAATACCCATAACAACAGGAGATGAAGTGTGGTGGTGTGTGGTGGTGTGTGATGATGTGTGATGGTGTGTGATGGGTGTGGTGGTGTGTGTTCCTGTGCATAGAGCTCAGGTCACAATCAGTTGAAGTTAAGCAACATTGGTCATGAAGAGTACTTGGATGGGTGACCGTGTTTGGCAGCTTGACTCCTGAGAGTTTCTAAGACTTCAGTCCTGCCCCCACAACAAAGCACATATGTGATCTCACCTTAGGCAAGTGAGTTTGTTCAAAATTACCTCTGTTCACCCAGCGGATAATTGGTACTCAATGGGATAAGTCATGAGGCTATTAACCTTCTAGCGCCTCACAGGCAGCTTGGGTTATCCGGGGTAATAATATCTTTCCCTGACAGTTAATATTCAACCAGATTGTGCGCTTTGAACATTTGGAAATAGCACCATAGAAATGCAGTAATGAATCAAGTGCCACACTACCTGTTCCCCACTTGCTGTGGTCACTGTGCAGCTGTCAGGGTCGAACTTCACTGCCTGATCCTTGATCCAGTCACAGCCGCTGGGCAGCACGGACTGCATGGTTCGCCCCGAGGCCTGCAGCGTCTTCAGCCCCGCTCCCACCAGGGTCCACATGGGCTGGTAGTAGTGCATCTGCCACACAGGAGACAACAACTGTCATGCTGAATCAAATGGTCTTTTTTTATAGGATATTTATATAGCGCATATATCCACGCAACTAGTGCATGCTCAAGGCGCTTTTATTTTTCCCTTCGATCATTGGATGTCAATCTCAACGGCACATCGTATTATCAATCTCAACTCCCTGGGGAGTGTACAACTCTTGCTGCCACTAGGCGCACCGAGTTAGTGTGGCTTTCTCATCCTAACGAGGACTAGGATGAAAAACTAATCAAAATCCCAAAGACCACAGGGATTCTAGCCACCTTCAATGTTCCTGGGGCTCATTCCACATAGCGATCATAGTGCTACTGTCGTGAAGTCTATACAGAAGTATGGGAGAACTTTATGATCACCTTAGTGTTACAATCGCTTTGAGGAACGGTATCCTGATCTACAACAAAACAGTGACCCTGGTCCAGTCCACTTCAACCAGGATATGACAACAAAGCTGATTCCCATTCTGAACCCACGAATTATAACAAAAGGCACAAAGCTAACCAAAAAATTCTATTTGGCATCATTAAGGAAACTGTGAGCGAACAAAATACTGCCTGATATCTGAATGCCATGACATTCATACAAATGGATTTGTAAAACATTATCAGTGTAGGAAAGATAGCCCGTCCCAACGTCCGAGACGGGTGAATTTTGTTGAGGACGGGCTAAATAAATATCTAGTCCGTCCTCATGTCGGGTCAATTTTAGCAAACCAATGACATATATATATAATGATTATAACCTTTTTGAATATTTACTGCCGAAGGTGTTTTATTTATATTTGGAGGACAGGCTAGATTTTGGCAGGACTGGTAAAAAATTTGACCTGCCAGTCCTGTGGACAGGCTAGATTTTCTACATCTTTCCTACACTGACATTATACATTCAAATTAAAAAATATATGAATGCTCTTGCTACAAATGATGAAAATTGATTTTCCTCTATGATGTCAAACAACGAACTAGAGGTCATACATGCATATAGATAAAGGAGCTAACTCCTCTATGCTTAACACTAGGTCACTGTAACTCAGGTCACTTGGAGATAAGCTGCTGACACTATATTTTCTTGATGTTTCATTCACAATGAACCAAACTATTCCCATACAAGATCCACGTTGTAACCATTTACCTTTTTGTATTATCACAATTATGAGAAATAATGAAATTGTGGTATGGTTTATATTTTTGGGTACAATTCTTGTAGAAATAAAGTTAACAGTTCAATATTCTGTGATCACAGTATACTATATTTAAAACATAAATTGGCAATATTATAGAAAATAAGACAAGTTACAAACAGGCACCTGGCATGACATGACTGATCTTTTCAAAACATGACAACAAATAATTCCACGACGAAGTGAGTGAGTTTAGTTTTACGCCACACTCAGCAATATTTCAGCTATATGTCTGTAAATAATCGAGTCTGGACCAGACAATCCAGTGATCAACAGCATGAGCATCGATCTACACAAATGGGATACAATGACATGTGTCAACCAAGTCAGCGACTACCCGACCCGTTACAACAACACCGACCTCTTACAACAAGCATGGGTTACTGAAGATCAATTCTAACCCTGATCTTCATGGGTCTCCACGATGAAGACAATTCCTAATGGGTATATGTGCATTTGATTCAAAATATAAATCTCGATCTAAAAGTAATACGGTCAATTTAACTTATAGAATTAATGAAATATCTGTTCACTAACTTGTTCACATGAAATTACAGCATTACATATTACACATGATAGGAACTACGTGCATGTGGCAGTTATACCTACAGATCATCTTCTAACACTTGTGAGACATTAAAAATATCACACTGAATGGGTCAATTACTTATGTAAATATTGTCCAAACAAACAAAAACTTTCAAATGATAAAAGTATCTAGTAGCCATTATCTCTGTATGATATGATATTGAAAAAGGCAAATTGTAGATTATGAAATTAATTTCTTGAAAAAATATCTTAAAGAGATACACAAAATAGACATCATAATATTGAAATTGTAAGCAGTGGGACAGGCAACATGGGACATGACTGGGACAGGGACAGTGGTATTTAATTGATGAAAATATATGTTTTTGTCTATATATTTGAATTTCAATGAATTTTCTTCAAATTTCGTAGAATTTCTAGTGCAATCGTATTGATGTAGTTTGAGGCTAAAATTCATAGCAACTACGATAACATCGTAGAGGTTGGCATCTCTGATAATTTAGAAATGTAACTACCCAGAACACAAAATGCTTTGCATGCAGAACACGCAGATAGAAATGTAGATTGATTTGCGTGAAACACACACGTTTAAGCGTTAACGCGAACACTGAAAATCAGGTTTTCAATAATAGGATGCACAGGTGCATTTTTCATATAGCTAAATCAGGCCCTGCATTGTTAGATCACCAGGTTTTGTCATGTTTTAAAATTTGTCAACTTTCATCACCACGGGCACTGTTTGATTTTACATTTCTTAACGGAAAAGGGGAAACAGTCGATTGTTTTCTTTTACAAATCTTTCCAATGACATTTTCTCTCTTATATCAGTAATGATGGTTTAAAAGGATCAAAGAATAAAGTAACTTTATTGTTGTGTACATGGTAGAAATGTGAAGCAAGTCACATTCAGTAGCCTGGTTGTAGGAATATTTCTCAACAGCATTTACTACAGTAAGGTGCACGTGCCAATGTTAACATGCACATGTGCAGTCATGTCGATGGAAGTCTCACCCTGGCTAGCTAGTGCTTGTTATTTATTACCCTGACAGGCACGCCATGACTGTGTTGTTCAGAAGAGTTATTGCTCCAATAAAATGTTGGGTTTTTTCAAAAGCGCTCTTAAGTAAGTGGCTATAAAGGAGAGGCCTGAAATGTTCACAGAGGTACAGATAAGCTGCGTATCTGCGTAAATTATGAAAATATTTATGTGAAAACTCAATTCCTTTTTAGTCCATTGCATACAAGTACGCATGAATTTTTGCAAATACCAATTAAATGTGATCTTACATGTGTACACACAAATGTCAAATCTTAGCTTGCGTACCGGTGGATAGAAAAAATAACTGAGGTATATTGAGAGGGACTATTTCAGGACATGAACTTGGGAGGTAGCATAGTGGTTAAAGCGTCCGCTCGTCACGCTGAAGACCCAGGTTCGATTCCCCACATGGGTAAAACAAGTGAAGTCCATGTCTGGTGTCCCCCAGTGTGATATTGCTGGAATATTGCTAAAAGTGGCGTAAAACCATACTCACTCACTCACTCACTCACTTAAGGCCATGGCCCCTCCTGGAATCTAGGTATCTCCTAGGCAAGTGTCTTGTTCTAATATAGCTCTGTACACCCTTCAGTTAATGGGTACCTGGACATGTTATATAGTAACTGATAACCAGTGGTATAGAAGGGTCATATACTCCTCAAGGAGCTAATAATGAAGACTGAGTGTGGTATAATGGGCATTAAATATGAACCAAATTTTTGCAGTGATGCTTAGTGCATCAGTTAGAAACAGTTTAATGGAATATCAAACATTTAAAATGTTGCAAAGTTCTAAATCACCATAGATATTTTGTTACATCTAATTCACAAATTCTATGCAGTTTCCTAATTGCATGGGACATTCACCTGAAAACGACAGATCTCAACTGCCAGTAGCAGTTCGATTCCAAAATGTCACAACAAATGAACATATTACAAGATTGTTATCCTACCTGGCTCTAAGGTTTCAAGGGCATATATTAACAAACAGCAGTATTACAAGTAGCATGGTCGACACGTGACAGTTAACGGCATTCTGATCTAAGGGTACAATTTAATATGGCATATATATTTAGACAGCTTTTTTTTCATATTTACACATTATTACTGCTAAGAGGATACTTAAATTTATACAGGTTAGGAAATAGATAATAATGTGGACTGATGAACTATGATCCAGGGTCTGTATATGCTGAACATTGGAACACTGATGAACTATGATCCAGGGTCTGTATAGGCTGAACATTGGAACACTGATGAACTATGATCCAGGGTCTGTATAGGCTGAACATTGGAACACTGATGAACTATGATCCAGGGTCTGTATAGGCTGAACATTGGAACACTGATGAACTATGATCCAGGGTCTGTATAGGCTGAACATTGGAACACTGATGAACTATGTTCCAGGGTCTGTATAGGCTGAACATTGGAACACTGATGAACTATGATCCAGGGTCTGTATAGGCTGAACATTGGAACACTGATGAACTATGATCCAGGGTCTGTATAGGCTGAACATTGGAACTCTGATGAACTATGATCCAGGGTCTGTATAGGTTGAACATTGGAACACTGATGAACTATGATCCAGGGTCTGTATAGGCTGAACATTGGAACACTGATGAACTATGATCCAGGGTCTGTATAGGCTGAACATTGGAACACTGATGAACTATGATCCAGGGGTATAGGCTGAACATTGGAACACTGATGAACTATGATCCAGGGTCTGTATAGGCTGAACATTGGAACACTGATGAACTATGATCCAGGGTCTGTATAAGCTGAACATTGGAACACTGATGAACTATGATCCAGGGTCTGTATAGGCTGAACATTGGAACACTGATGAACTATGATCCAGGGTCTGTATAGGCTGAACATTGGAACACTGATGAACTATGATCCAGGGTCTGTATAGGCTGAACATTGGAACATTGATGAACTATGATCCAGGGTCTGTATAAGCTGAACATTGGAACTATGATGAACTATGATCCAGGGTCTGTATATGCTGAACATTGGAACACTGATGAACTATGATCCAGGGTCTGTATAGGCTGAACATTGGAACACTGATGAACTATGATCCAGGGTCTGTATAGGCTGAACATTGGAACACTGATGAACTATGATCCAGGGTCTGTATAGGCTGAACATTGGAACATTGATGAACTATGATCCAGGGTCTGTATATGTTGAACATTGGAACACTGATGAACTATGATCCAGGGTCTGTACAGGCTGAACATTGGAACACTGATGAACTGATCGAAAACCGGTATTTTGACATGCATTCGAAAAACTTCATAACACTCGGAAATCTTCAGATTCTTTTGTTTTATAAATTATTCCTTTCCTTTTTTTATTTGTGCCAAACATTTTTATTTTTTCATGATTTAAAGCTTTTATTAAAGCTTAATCAAGAGTGGTGATTTTGATGTGTTTTTGCTTTATAAATCAAGCATTAACTCGATTATAAGTAGTTTTTTTTAATAAAAAAAACTTATTGCAATATATTGCAATACATATCGCAATATATGCTTTCGCATCGCAATATATTGCAATATGAAAATTCTTTGCAATACCCAGCCCTAAAGAATAATACAATTCATTTTGAGACCTAGCAATGTCTGTACTCCAACAAGTACAGAATTCTACCCCTCTACTCCTCTTCCGCTAATTTCTGCTGTAGTACTCCTGAGGTAAAAAATTATCAGGAACACTTACGTACACAGCTACAGTTCCCTGTGCGTGACATAACCATTGACAATTGATTCTATATTTAGCGTCTGTGACCTGAGCTATCATTGTACAGCAGCAAGGGCCACCGTGTACCACTTACATTCTGAGTATTGAAACTGAATGTCACTATGCCCTGAGAGAGTCTTTGTCAGTTCCCGAACAATGCTATTTTCTTTCCCCATCGTTACTGAAATGCTACAGTCTACAGCCCTTAAGAAGCAAGTCTAGATTTTTCCTCAGATTACGATGGAATCTCCCATCACAGTGGGACTTCTTTTCATTTAATGTGATGGGGTTTTTCACGTATTTACAAACACTAGGCATCAGTTTAACTGACCCCATTGCACGGGTCGTTAAACACGATGATCATATATTCTCAACGCTGATCACCAGTGGAAGGTTTGTTTGGGCCAGAGTCGACAGTTGATATGCCGACCGCCGTTACATAAGCGATGACCTATGATCACCATTCCGTCTGCTCTCACTCTCAGTCTGTAAGACTTACCTCGCTGGGATCAATGACAGCGACATGCCCCTTTCCCAGTCTTCCGGCAAACTTGGCGGCAGTAGCACAGCCGCCGGACCCGCCTCCCACCACCAACAGCTGATAATGTTTTTTGCTATGATAAGTCCCAGAAGTGCTGAATCCACGCCGGCCGCTCTGTCGTATAGCGGTGAAGGTACAACGTGACAACGGCACCAAGGTAGACATTTCGTTACAGTCAGTTAACTTTATCTGTCCAATAACTTCAAAATCTAGTGTCAACTTATTATCCGTTTGCAGACCGCTTATCTATATTGAAGGTTACCCACAATGAAACGTGGGTTACACGCGGACGTCCTACCTGTGTAGTTAAGTCGCTCCCGATTGGAGGAGTAGTCACACTTCGTCCAATCAGGAAGTTAGTAGGGTACAAGTCAGGTACGCAGTATCAGTCGGTCGATGTGATCACGTCCGCGGTTTGTTTACAAATATAGCGTGAAGTCGGAAGAGGCAGTTCAGGGATGAGCGAGGCTTTACGTAATGTGACTTTCAAAGCCTGTACTGAGTGTGAATACGACACACACAGGACACAGTCAGTCGTAGATTTCGTCATGTTTCTTTGCCTACCGTGGGAATAACCCGTGAAGATAGAATGTGGTCTTCGATCAGAGACCCATGCTTGTCGTAAGAGGCGACTAACGGGGTCGGGTGGTCAGGCTCGCTGACTTGGTTGACACATGTCATCGTACCCCAAATGCGTAGATTGCGGCTCATGTCTGGACCAGACTCGGTAATTTAGCTGGATTATTGCTGGATGCGGCGTTAAACAACAAACAAACAACCCGTGGGAATAACCCTACGGATATTTAGTTGGGTCAATGCTGCATAAATTCTTGATAATGACTTGTGCTGCTTCTTCGCAAATTCCAGCTACATCCGGACAGAACATACCACTCAAGGCTTTGCTAAGCATAGCGAGATGGGATTTGCATGAATATGTTCATATAATTAACGTATAATTAAAAAGCTTGCTAAATTCTCTAAAATTTCATATGCACATATGTTGAAACAATTTGTTTAACACTAGAACAGATTTTACTCCATTTTACTACCATTTTCAATTTGTAACCGGTTGTAACTAGTCCTAAACCGGCACCCCACGGGACCGAAATAAAATGCCCGTTTAGACAGGGTGCCTGATTAGACAGTGACGATCATTTTCCAACATGACTGCCATTTACACCCGTAATTCTCTTTATGTCTATAATGCCTTTGACTTTTTGTAATTGTACAACAATTAAAACAATGTCGTCCCGGAATACGGAACAATGTCGTACCGGATTAGATAATGTTTTAATGATCATAATATCGTTGTAAAATGTTTGGACCAAACTGTTAAGCCAGTTTTGACAATGTGCCGGATTCTACAGGTGCCGGCAGGTTGCTCTGTATGTACATATGTCTTGGTGTTATATTATAGCATTTTCCCGTTTTAATCAACAACTTTGGCTATCTCTCTGATAGCAATACAGTATAGCTTCTACGTGAACCACCTAATAAAGAAGTAGATATTCTTTGTTGCCTGACGCACATAACTACTCCTGATGTGCGACGGAGTCCTGTATATAATAATGTATATAAAACCGTGAAAAGGGCCGTTTGTGTGTGTGTGTGTGTGTGTGTGTGTGTGTGTGTGTGTGTGTGTGTGTGTGTGTTTCAACGGCATATGAGTCCAACTCTGTATGTGACTTAAGGGAATATCTTCAATTCCGACAACGAGAAATGACGTTTTAACGAATAAACTACAGCACAGCTGTAAATACAATATGATATATCTATGAAGACAACATTGCTAGTAGATGCATGTTGTCCGTGGAGAGAAGATTTACAAATATTAAACACTGATGTTACTCTTAGATGGCACCACACGATGGAACAGTATTTCCCATTTAAGTATGTGAGGAAATAAACGTATCATCCGAGGCGCATATGACCAAAGTTTGAAATGTACGTGTCATTTGGCCGCCAGGTCGTGAAATACAAGAGCATGCTGAAGAGTATGAACAAATATGACAAAGGTGTATATATATATTTCTAACGTCTGAATGGTAAATGTTGTTCATTTAGGACAAAGGTTTAAATACCCTTGAAATCGTGAATGACCAGGTTTAAATTTATCCTATATTTCTCACCCTTCTAAGTGTTCGTTCATAGGTAAATGAATGATTATCATATTGACATAAAGAGACATTTATTTGAATGGTGCTGTTATACAGCAGTAAATGTTATACCAGCAATGACTCGTTAGTGTGCAGCGTCCTAGTGGCACAATGAGGTAACTGGTTATACATTCCCCGTGGAGATCCACTTTTCTACAGATATTTCATGTTTCCTGAGTAGGCTGCATATTTGGTAACCCAGACTTCATAGAAGCACTGCTTGAATTGATATCAGGTTTAAACCAAGGAAAGGATTACAGAGGGTATAGTGATAGAAGTACTTGATATAACGAAATAAGTATTTGATATGACTAAAATATGCTGAACCTGTCTGTACACTCTCCTACAAGTCTATGTCCATGGGCGTTGTACATGTATATTATTTAGACCCAACTAATGACTGTATACAGTTGCATTATGAGCAAATATGATTGGTTGAAGCAACTGATGTGTCTGGTTCTATCAACATACAAATAATTCAAGCCCCGACATCCGCCACCTATGAAATATATAGTCAGTCCTAAAGAAAATTCAGGGTTTTAATTTAAGCTTAAGTAGGAAAAATCTTTTTAGTCATTATTTGTGATGGGTATGGGGAATTGCCCTACTGGTTACAAAACAGGTGTCACGGGAAATGTCAAGATGGGGGAATTGTCCTAGTGGGGAATTGTCCTGATTGGGAATTGTCCGTACAACGATTCTGCGTGCATGTTCTGAGTGTGATATACGAGTCGTTCATGAAGTAAATGTGATACATGTAAACATGTAAAATGGCCCGAATCAAAGTGTTATAAAAAAAGCCCGGGCTTACACATGATTGTTACTTAATCATTTGGGCAAGCACTAAAGGCAATCTAAATATAAAGTTTTGCAACCTGTCGGGCTTGCACGTAAAATAGTAGCTTGCTACGCGCCTGGTGGTATATATTCCAACTGCATAAATTATAATATAGAACACTTTTTTATGGATAACAACTTCTTTATTTCGTGAGTGCGACGTTTCGATACAGATTCTTGTACCGTTGTCAAGCATCACTACAGATTCTTGTACCGTTGTCAAGCATCACTCTTGTTTGACAATGGTACAAGAATCGGTATCGAAAGGTCGCACTCACGAAATAAAGAAGTTGTTATCCATAAAAAAGTGTTCTATATTGTACGTCTCAACTTCTAAAATGCCACTCAAACACAACGCATAAATTATGTTTCACTCTCCTGTATAATAATCATATATACTGTGCTGGTCTAGTGTGGTATATTACTGGTTTTAAATACGGCTATTTCACATCAGTAATCCACTTTATGACAATTCTTTCGTCGTCGTCAGTAATACAGCGTTGACTCAGTGTTTGCTCTCTGGATGATACATAAACAGTGTATGGAATCAGTACACATCGTGTCGTCACGTATCAGTAAAATTGTACTCTACAGGTGAACGACACAATCAGTAACATTGTACTCTACAGGTGAACGACACAATCAGTGACAGTGACAGGTGAACGACACAATCAGTGACATTGTACTCTACAGGTGAACGACACAATCAGTAACATTGTACTCTACAGGTGAACGACACAATCAGTGACATTGTACTCTACAGGTGAACGACACAATCAGTGACATTGTACTCTACAGGTGAACGACACAATCAGTAACATTGTACTCTACAGGTGAACGACACAATCAGTGACATTGTACTCTACAGGTGAACGACACAATCAGTAACATTGTACTCTACAGGTGAACGACACAATCAGTAACATTGTACTCTACAGGTGAACGACACAATCAGTAACATTGTACTCTACAGGTGAACGACACAATCAGTAACATTGTACTCTACAATGGCAGAATGGTGGCAGACGACTGAGGAAACCTGCTAGTGATCTCCAATTATTTTACAGGATTTTAGCCTACCACTTGAAATTTGCAAGAAACAAAGAATATGGATATTCCCCAGTACAATTCATGTCGTTCTTTTTCACCTCCCCATGTTCTGTTTTTCAGCAGTCCGATCTGGAGGTTGTGTTTGACCTGGTCCTCGGGACTCCAGGCAACCAGGGGCTGGTGAAACTGACACAACTAATTATTAGTTTGCCAAACAAATCTACTGGACAATGTCTTTCCTTGAGGCTTTTCCAAATTAGTTCTAAAATTTTCTTTACTCAAACTTTGATAATTTAGATCGTGTTCTTACACTCAAACGTATGCCGTTGCTCTTTTCTTACATTATTGAAGCTGTAACAATATATCTTTCTGCAAATCCACAAACTGTAATGGGGGTAAGAGTTCACAATTATAGCAGTGCTTGAGGATCGATGGACATACGTCATTGTTTTGTTTGTGTCACCAGACACACGCGTGCGTGCGCACACACACACTTCATACATAGATTTACAAGGGCCAAGACCAATGGCATATATTTCTGTCGAAAATGGCGCTCATAGTAAGGTTTTAAAAGGAGTGATTAGATTGATGTAGGTCATTTGACTCATTGCCTTCACGTTTGTTGCACAAGTTAATTTTCTAAAGAACAGAATTGCCTGAATCCTAGATTCGTTGAACGTCTCGGACAGGTAGTGACTCGGACAATACATCTTCTACTACTTTAACTCTCTCATTTACGTTAACCTTTATCCTGCAAGAGCGAAGTTAGAACACGAGATTCCATCCACCACCAAGTACTCATGTGATACATTGGCCCCTTTCGATCATGCCTAGCCTCTATGTTTTGGATAGTGAACCTATTTTAAAACGTGTCATCGTATCCCAAGTGTGTAGATCGATGCTCATGCTGATGATCACTGGATTGTCTGGTCCAGATAAGATTATCTACAGACCGCCGCCATATAGCTGGAATACCACCGAGTGCGGCGTTAATCCCCAAACAAACCAAACCGTTAAAACGAGGCCATATCAAATTGTTTCTTCAGAACTTTACTGAATTTCGTCGAAATCACTCCAATCATGCTTATGATTCCACTTCCGCTCCTCTCTATGAAAACTGTTTCAGATGAGATCGAGGCTGGTTCTTGTGATTTAGATCAATTTCCATATTACTGTTGCGACGTTTCGATATTACCAGAATTTGTCAACTATACCCTGTAACGTTTATCAGGCCGAAACCA